GTACTTCAGGGGGCTCAGGCGGCTGGGTAATACGAAGACAGGCTTTTTCCCCTCTGCTCGCATTCGCTTGTAGGACTCTAGATGCCCCTATCGATCCTAAGCCACAAAGATCTTACCCCTCCCCCCTGTTGGTGTTACCTTTGAATTTCAAAATGCAGGCTTTCCATACCCGCTGTCCTGTGACAAAGTCCGCAAACGCGACATGGATCATTCGAGACCGAGGGTTGTTACCCCCTAATGGTTTCGCTGTTGGGATGCGATGTCATCGTTGTAGCTCTGGGACTGGGGTGAGACCAACAAACGCTGCCAGCATCTGCTTGATCAAGTGATTACAATTCTCCTTGGTGCCTTCCTTAGCTTCAGGAATCCCATAGAAGACTAAATTGTTACGCCTTCTTCTGTTTTCGATGTCGTCAATCTTGACCACGAGGTCGTTGTTGTTTTGCTCCAGAGCTGTTATTCTCACCTTCATTTGCTCGAGCTCAAAGTTGCAAGCTTGTACGTAGTTTATCATCATGCGTCTTCAGGTCGGACTGGATCGAGTCTAATTTACTTGAGATGGTCAAGCTCAGTCGCTCTTCAAATATTTCGAAAAAGCGAAGAAACCACCGCAGCGGTTGCTCATCATCTCCAGGCTGCTCACGAGAGGCGTCAATGGCAGCAGGTTCGCCATCCGACGCATGACCTTCGACCCTCAGATCACTGAACACGTGACTGGACGCCATCTTTCTTATTTATACTTTGTTGGATATTTGGATGGTGATCTCGGGTGCTTGTTTCCACGAGGCATGTTACGAAAAATTTAAACAAGGAAAACTGCGAGTGGAAACAATAAAGTCGAAAGTCTCCGGGTTTAAGTAAAAACCGAATTTCTTTCGGCAGCAAGCTGCGACGACGTTACTCAATCGTTCGCATGAAGGGCGCCCTCCAATAAATACAACTTGTTCACTTCGCGGGCACTGCAAACGTTTTAAGAACATCTGTTAAAGGCATGGGCGTAGCCAGCGAGGGGGGGGGGCGTTAACCCTAAAGGGGCCGGGGGCGGAATCCGCCCCCCCCCCCTCAATATTTTCCGTGATCGCCTCTAAAAAATTGTTTTCAGGACCCGAGCTGTTATGACTTTTTAGCCTCGAGCTTTGCGCATCTTTTGATACCAAAAACATAAAAATCGGACCACGGGTTGCCGCGTAGCGAAAAATTTTCCGGCGCTACGCGCCCTGAAAACTGAATTTTCGCATATACGTCGTGTACACAGAGCAGAATTGCCATTCGTACATATGAATAATTAATTAGCCATAATTCCAAAACCCTTTGACCTATAGTCATGAAATTTCTTGGGTATGTTTAGGAAGAGTTGCTCTATGCATGTGCCGAGTTTCAAAATTTTTCGTCACTCGATGTCCGAGATCTTAGGGGGGGGGGCGGAATCCGCCCCCCCCCCCCGGCTGAGAGATGGTCAAAATAACCCGGCCCCTTTAGGGTTAAGGGGGGCATGTCCCAAACCCCTTTCCCACACCCCCACCCCAACCCACCCAATATTTTGAGAATGCCTTTTTTTGATTACTTGGTTTGTTTTGTGATTTCTTATCAGCGTCGGATGATCATGAATATCCGAGGTCGATCTACGGAATGTCGTTTCTAAGTAAGGCCACAGCCTTATTACTTGGATGGCCCGTGAGATATTTCAATCATCGCATGCCGCGTATTCTGACACGGCCTAAAAACACGCCCTCTCTCGGTGTGCGGTTACGCATAAAGCCAGCAAGTCAGGTCACTGATCTGTCCTTTGCAGCGTAATGTACATGCAGACGTAGGTACGTATACAGTACAGGTACATGTTGTACGTACGCAATTACGAAAATGAGGGGGGGGCGTGGAAAAATTATATCGAAAGAAAAAAATCGATCGAACTCAAAAATGGCAACATTGTCATTTTAAAGGTTGTTCAGAGTCAGTGTTTCTGATCAGGTCTAAGGAGCTTCGGGACCCAACAAATTGACACCTTAGACATTTTGACACGATGGCTGATTTGTTCTCTCAATGTTTGTAAAGGTTTAGTTCTCATGCAGGAACCGGTGATTGTCAAGGTATAATCGTCTGTAACTTCAAACGTTCTTTCTTATCATTCAAGAAGTTAAACTGCACACAATATCAGTAAAAAATGTATAGCTAGGCAACGAACTTATCAATCATCCCCGTACATCATTGCCTGGTTGTGCCGATCGCGAGGGTACGATGTCCGCTGTGCTCGGTAATAAATTGCTAAAATTTTACTGAAAGATTAAATTCTTCAATAAGACAATAAAATAGTTTTGTATATTTCAATAAACGTGCAAATAATTTTATTATACGATTTCATCAATAAATTCGCCCTGCGCATGTCAACACCCCCTCGGACACGAATCGATCAGTCCATCTGGCTCCCTCAAATTTGGCTCTTAGAGTATGCTAATAAGGCCAAATGCAGCGTTCTGATTGGTCGAGAGGCTAAAACGATGACGTCATACCGACTATACAGACGATGTGCACTCACCTTTTGCCTAGACTTGATGGGTGTACGCTATGGCGTTTTGGACTTGACTTTAATAAAAACATGAGCAGAAAATATGAATAGAGAGAAAAAAAGTGAATTTGAACGTTATGAAATTCGGACTTTATTTCCCTTTAAAAAAAAAATCATCCAAAGCCTCAGGTTAGTAAAGGAAAATAAAAAATCGGGAGCAAAACCGAGATTCGAACCCGCAACATCTCGATGCAATCATACCTTCTATCGACTGAGCTGTCGCACTGCTTGATCCGTGGGGAAACAAATAATAATAAACCTGCGTGAGTATCATAAAAGTATCGTAGAGGGCGCTAAACAACCATGTATGCGGATGTCGTTCGGGAGAAAAAAAAATCGCGGCCGGAGAGCATTTTGTGCATTCACAGAGCTATGATGTAGTACTTTTCTGCTGGAAGTATCTACACAAGTGTACGCTTTCCCTCGTCTGGTTCTCTGACCTGACGATGGTCCTACCTCATTCGTCAGAAACGCATGAACTTAGAACCAGACTGCCGCCTCAAGGCAGTGCTTTTGGGTTTCGAGGAGCATATAGCCGAGCCGCTCAGACACAAGTGGTGAGTTCGTTGTCACATCTCGTGATGGGTATGCAGGGGCAAAATGTCCCTGCCTCCTCTAAAACTGATAAATCGAGAATTTGTTGAGAAATACAACCTCGTCAAACGAGGTTGACAGAAAATGTGACAGAATGGATATTTTTTGGCAGATTTCTGGCAGAATTCTGAAAAAATGGTTATTTGACAGAAAAACATAGCAAATTTGAAAAATTCGATTTGTTTAAAAAAAGCTTCAATCTTTTCAAATAAACCCTTGCATAGTCAGGTTGGCTGGTCTAGGTGCCGAGGTTCACTGGGAACCGAACTTCGTCGTGACGCAAGTCACGCAACCGCGTTTAACCTGAAATGTATGCAATAATTTCATAACATCTTTATGTGACTTTAGATTGTTTATAATGTAATTTGAACCTTAATTAAGGCAATACTACAAATCTGCATGTGATTTTAAGTGTTTATAGTATATTTCGAGTAATTCTGGGGAATTTGGTCACCCTGGTTTGGCCTCTTTTGTTCGGAAGTCCTCACAGTGAATGTAATGCTTGTACACAATAAACTGTTTATGGTGTAAATCGAGGATTTTCTATTGTTCCGCGTCATCGGTCTTTTGTTTATACTCTCACTTTAATGATTTTATCATATTGTGTATTACATCCTTGCCCAGAACCATTTGTATTTTATTCTAATTTCTACTTTTGAAAATCTTTAAAATGCACGTCTCTTGAACGAGATTAATGAAATGGTTCATGGCAAATGGGGTGCCTTACTGGTGTGTGTGTGTGTGTGGGGGGGGGGGGGTCTCAGTAATTAAAACAATAATAATCAAGCATCTTGGTCTACAGCATTGTACTCATGGTCTGCGGGTAATTCTGCAGGTTGTGGGCTCAAGTCCAGCCTGTGGTTGTGGTGCGTGTGCCCTTGGGCAAGGCACTTTGTCACTCATTCCTTCTCCCAACCCAGGAGTATATGGGGGTACATGTGATCGTGAGGGCAGAGATGGTTATTGTGATTATTAGCTGCTTTTCGCCGAAATGTCCGCAGCATCTGGCTGTCATGTATACTCGGAGAGCTGAGATCGTCCTTGGAATGTTTCCTTCGCCCAATGAGCAGGGGTAATAATGGAGTGGCGCCATAAGCACGAATCATGGTGACGTGGATACCTGCGCATCTTATGAAACTCATCGTTACTATTTATTATATCTTGGAGAGGGGTTGTAGATAAAAAAAAAAAACGATGTTAAAGGGTCCGATTTGGGCAGTGAAAGGCTATTACTTTCTAACAAAGGTTTCTAGAGCTACGTACGGCTATTACGTCCGTATTGTCCGTCGAGGACCTAGACAGTACCTGTACACAAGCGATACTGACGACAAGACCTTAGCTTTCTGGAGAGCATCAGCTATGAACATCGGTATATTAACACATATTATTATTCTCCTTTCTTTCAGAAACAAATCATACGTCAGATATGCAGTACTTATTTATTTCTCGATCTCCAACGTTGTTGGTACCTCACCATGACAATTTCACTGCACCTAGTTTACTTATGGTTTTACTTCAGATTTTATTTTCAACAGATGGCTGCTCCATCATTCCGTGACCATGACGGCCAAAACTACTAAAACCGACCTTCAATTTCAAGTTTAAATTCCAGCTTCGCATGTGATACGTGCCAGAATCGCAAAACAAGTATCTGTACTCAGTCGGCTAACTTTATCTGATATCATATGTGAAGAGGGCCGTAATGACCTGATATGCAATGAATGTTTCTAATCACCAAACTGTAACGCAACCAATAAAGTTGCATAGAAGGTAACCATGATATATATTTATCGGCGACACAAATTTGCACCCGACCTGGTATCTGGTATCACGCGTGAAGTGGGCCGTAATGGCTTGATACGCAATGTCGGCAAACAGCCCATGAATATCTATAATCATCAACTTGGAACAAAGCCAGTTAAAAGATAGGATATCAACCCCGAGGACTCGGCTGCTGAAGTTACAAAGAAGGTTACCGAAGCTATAGTGTATAAAAGGACCAGTGTATGTGCCTGCCACACAATTTTGCACCCGAGTTGAGAGAGGCTTTTCATCTCCACACGACACCTTTACTATTCCGTCGCGATCAATATGGCTTTCCTGCGTTGTTCATTCCTGTTTTTGATGTTGATTGGCTTAGGACTAGCCCAAGCCGAGGAGTGTCCCCCTTTCTGGAATCGCTTCGGGTCCCACTGCTACCGGTTCTTCGGCCACAACAAGACGTGGCAAGAGGCCGAGAACCACTGTCAGATGTTCTTCAACCGTCACGCCCAGGGACACCTGGCTTCCATCAAAAGCCAGGTTGAATTCAATCTCGTGCTGACCATGTGGAAAACCTCCCTGCCGCCGCCCATCCTCGGCCTGTATCTGGGCGGCATCAAGACAGACTCGTTCTTCAGCTGGTCCGATGATCCCAACAATGGGATAGCGGGGTTCGTCGCCTGGCTTCCAAATGAGCCAAACAACAGCGGAGGGATGGAGGACTGCATGGCTACTACAGTCGACGGGTGGAACGACGTACCTTGCACTGAAACCTTCCCGCACGTCTGCAAAATACGTATCGAGTAGTCAAAGTATGTTCGTGCATCAAGTCAAGATCTCATCGTTGCCACGGTACAGCAACACTGCATCTATAGTTCACTCTGACTGACAGTTGACACCTCCAAAAAATCACTTTTGATAACCAGCCATTTGGGTCTGATCACTGAATAGCAAAACGAACACATCGGGATAGCAACATCCATGCAACATCACTACATGTATGCACATGTACATGTACATGTAGATCACTATTTCTGTGATACGTAACCCTTGGTTCACGACGTCCTGTGTTGGTCTGAACATTGAACTTACAGCAACTCGCCTCTCCAATCAAGACCAGTAATAAACCACACCACAGAACAGCATCATCCATGGGCCATATCGCTGCATGAAGCTCACTCTTTAACTGCGACTGCACACATCAAGACATCCACACTTGGTGAATGACGTCACTATGTAGGTCTGAACACTGAACAGCAACGCATCGCTCCCGACAAGACTAGCAAAACCCAAAACTCAGTGACTTGTAAACGTTTAGGTACATCAACGTTCCTGCTTGTTTTTTTAATTTTTTTTAACACATTTTCGGTAATTCTGTTAAAAAAAAGCTTACAACAATGGCACATCCCCAAAATCTGGATTAAAAGAAAATAATGATCGGTTTATACAACAGAGGATGTGACAATGATGCTGTAATAATGACGAGGACAGTGAGCAACATGTACCCACTATAGCATCGTGAAGTGTCAGCATAGTCAAAATTGCGAACCATCGTCATCACTTGATTAACAGTGACCACTTGATTAACAACAATGACCCGATCCGGGTGTTACTGCTTAGGACAATATTTGCCACACATTACTTTACCTCCGAAAATGACGGATCTTTACAACTCTGACACTTCAAACCAAATTTGCCTGCAAATCAAAAATCTTCTTTGATCTTATCACTTATTGAAGGTGTTCTTTAGTATACAAAAATGAGTTCTTCTTTCGATTGAAAGTAGTCTATTCAAATGATTAGAGCTTACAGTAAAGGTACCAATTAGTGACCATTTAGTTGTGGTGATGAATATTCTTTTTAGCTCATATGCATATCATAAAAAAACAATTATGCTGCTTTGCAAAGACGTTGTCTTCTGCGAGTAAAGAGCCAGTCCAAAATCACCTTTGTGTCCAATTTAATTCGTACCCATGTGTTGTGAACAGTCATTTCGATTGGTAGGCAGTCTATGAAATGAACTTCGTGGAAAACAGCCCAAGCTAATGTTAAGCAATATAAATTAAGTTTTCAAATACGTTGGATTTTTCTCTCTGCCGTGGTGGTGGAAAGTGGAGATAGTGGACGGCGTGTCTTACCCTTTTCGTGAGCATGCGTATGTACATTGTACAAGCTCAGTATACATATTCTTGTGAAGAGTTATGTTGTATAATGTACCACAATTACGCTGTGTTTCGTACCATGTCGCAACTACATCGTTGCATTGTTACATTTTCAAGTAGGACAAAGTGTCATTCTTAAGCAGGATCCGATCTAAATAGGTCCGAGTCCAACACTAAATAGGTCAGAGTATATGTAAAATAGTGACAAAGTTATCAGTATTAATGTTGACGTTTCCAGTATCAATCCACTGCATACACAATGCAGCACAAACTGGTCGTGATTAAAACAAAAAAAACACACCCCCCCCCCCCGGGCAGAGACGCCTTAGATGAATACTGGCATCACGTGACAAGCATCCAATGTTGTAAGGTTCTGGTAGTTTCCTACTTTTTATTTTAAATCCTCTTGGGCGATTTTGTTTACCCTTTGACCTGGACTCAACATACGTGTGCGCACACTAAAAAAGGAAGGCAACGTCTAGAAATCAAGGCCCCGTTTGCGCCCCCCCCCCCCCCCCCCCCGCAAAACGGACCGTAATTGCGCCACCGAGTATCGGGAAATGGTAAGGCTGTGTCACAATCAGGTATTTCTGGCCACGGCTAAAACCATGTAGAGCATACGAACTATGATGAAGCACCGTATCCGTAAAAAAAAATGAACATAAGAAAAAGGAATTGGCAACATCAACGATGACCTGCAATGTCTACAGATCAATGGCAATCTGGCATTGAACCTAGTCTGAGAATCCCCCGTTATCCACGGAGCCAAGTCTCCTGTATAACGTCTGATATGTCAAAGCGTGCAGATATATGCGACCTCGCGCCTCAGCCAATCGGAGTCGACTTTACTAAATCGTGACGCCATTTAATTCACAAATAAAGAGTGAAACTTGGTCAATTCTAATCCAGTGTTTTGTAATACAACAGCCGCACACTTAAGCCCGGTTCATACTTCACGCGAAAGCGAAAGCAAAGCGAAATTCGTGAAGTCAGCAATACATTTGAAGCGCGTCCACCATTGTTGACGACATGAATTTCGCTTCGCACAGGCTTTCGCGTGAAGTATGAACCGGGCTTTACGTGTCGCGTAAATATTAATAGCGCCTGACCACAGCCTTTGTCTAGCGTTTGTTATCCATGTCTAGACGCGGCAAAGGTGAATGACATTAGACCCGACATAGAAAGCGCCCGCTGTTGGTCAAAATCTAGAGGTCAAAATGCTTGGTTGTCTTGCATAATTAATTAGCGAATCCGTTCAAAAATTATAGACCGTGGCTTTCGCCTCGGTCTATACACTACACGATCCAAAAGTGGAAGAAAGCAATCTGGCCAATTTGACATGATCATCATCGGGTTCAACGTCCAACCCTTGAGTTCAGGGACAGATGGCAATCGTGTGATCACAGTATGCAATTCTGTATTTAGCAAGTTTGACAAAGTCTATTGTTGATATTAGGTTTTGAATTACAAGTTGTGCACGAAGGACCTATATTCGGGCAGTTATGGCAACAGCATCATACGCGCACCAGGCAATGTTGGCGTTCCAATGTTGGGCATGGCAGCGAATTCCAGGGAAATGCAATGTAGACCACTTGCAAAGAGTGGTCTCACTGTAGGGCAGGCTTTTCATAGTCCTCTGTGAAACACGTGACTCCCAGTACTTTAATTGTCAATAAGTTTAGGCAACACTTCGTCTCTAATGACAGAGATTTCCGAAATGCACTTCACAAGCTGACAAGGGCTAACATCAAAACACGTTGGACGAAATGATGGATGATATCAAATGACCATAATGACGACGGAAGAACAAAAATTGAGAAACGCAAGATCTTTGGTAGCCTTAGCCGATAATGATTTATTTTAAACTGAACATATTGTTTTTGTACATATCTTTCTTGCAAAACGTAAACACGTATTTTTGTACACAACCACAGCTAAAATTGCCAACTGTAAAACACATTCATGACCACAATTTGTCCTCTTGTGTCATGTTAAGTTGATAGAGTTACATCATTCGGCTATGCTGTATTAGGGCCATGCTAATAAGCATGCCAAACATGACATGACATGCCAAACATGCATGACAGCCAAAATAATAAGTTTTAAAAAGTTATGTGAGAGGCATCAAGAGAAACCGATGCACCAAAATCTTTATTAACCCTAACAGAAACTCAACCCATCAAACCCCAAAGGCATGTTTTGTTGGAATCTGTCAGGATGGGTACAGTACCGATCAACTGACATTGGGTTGGCACGCCTCCAGAATCAAAGTCAGAAAAATGTGTGTGCAGTTTCCCATATGGCGTTGGAATTTGCGAGGATGGATATGGTTCTTAGTAAATCATGCTAGGGCGTTAGGGTTAATACAACGAAAATGCATACAGTTGTTAGAAAAAAAACCAAATCACATTTCACCCTGTGCCCCAACGCGACACGTAGACATGCCTGAGTGCAGGAGTGTAACATCTATCAACTTGAAATGACACAAGGACATATTTGAATATGATGCTCCAATAAGCCATATGCGAGTAACCTATACACTTTGGGATTTACATTTGAAAAACATCTGGTACACTGACTTGCTCAGAATGCTTGGCACATTTGAACTTTGAATTCTCCAGACCAAAGACACTGTTGATTATCACATGATTCGGGGCAAGCTCTTGCATAGTTACGTAAGAGACGTTCAGCACCAATACATTGTTCACAATGGGAGAGGATGGCACAAAGACACCAGACCATACCGGAGCTGGCGGTTGCTAGCATAAGGCTTGCCCCGAATCACGTGATATAGTAACAGTCTCTTTGGTCGGGAGAATGCAAAGTTAAAACGTGCAAAGCATTGGATTAAGTCAGCATTCCAGATTTTATTCAAATGTAACTCGCAAATGGCTTATTCATAGCAGAGTTGGAGGAGGGAGAAAAACATTGAAAAAAAGCAGGTATCAAAAATTGGGAACTCTCAAACCACATCTGAAGATAGTCTTGCACAAGACTTGGTTGGGATTACAACGTAGATCTCCCTAATGCAGTATGTCCCAGACGAGCACCGTAAAGCCGCTGCGGTGGTAGCGGTCTCTATCAACGAGATGTACTTTGGCAGTGCTAGCCTAAAAATTCTGAGGATATCTTAAGCGCATGCATCGGCTTCAATACCGCATGCGCGAGGTATGCTCGGACTTTTGTGGGTAGCGTTGCCAACATTCCCAATGCTTGATGATTCAAATCGTCATGTTGACAGCAACCTTTACCACCGCTGTGGCTTTAACGTCACGGACCTCATGTATCAGGGAAATAAATTCCATATCCAGTCTTGGACCAAGACTAATCTGCAGACCAGGAAGTTATTATGGGCTGTTACAACTGATAATGTAGTAACCAACTGATAACGTATCACCAACCGATAATGTCACACAAATTGACCGATACTGTATCACTAACCGATTATGTAACAGAAATTGACCGATAGTGTAGTAAATGTTACTACTCTATCGGTCAATATTTGTTACATTATCGGTTTAGACCGATAATGTAACAACAATCGACTGATAGTGTAGTACATTTTTACTACACTATCGGTCAATTTCTGTTACATTATCGGTTAGTGATACAGTATCGGTCAATTTGTGTGACATTATCGGTTGGAGATACATTATCCGTTGGTTACTACATTATCAGTTGTAACATGGGCTAATTACGTGATTCTGTGAACATTTGTAACATAATCCTCCTACCTATCCTCGATAAATATGTTTTATTCTGGTTGTTGTTGCATTCAGCACTCCATCAATTCACTGTGCACACTGCACAGGAACTTTTATGTAAATCATTTGTTTTCTTCAGTTCGATAAATCAGAGAAATGACTCCCTCTAGCGGTAAGCACATCTTCCCTATGAGCAAAGCCTCCCAGAAAATCTTATACTGTTATCAATGCTACTCCATCAAATGCGATCAACACCAACCAACAACCAACAAATCCCAATGATGCAGCCGGAAGGCTTTGAGACATACTGGCTTTTTTTCTTATTTTTTTTTCTTACAGTCCACAAATCCACGACACTTGTCATTGTTGATACGCACAACTCTTTCACAAACACAACCTCAGCCCAAATTCACAGAGCAGCTAAGCAGACAACTTGGCACAGCAAATTTATGTGCGAAGCGCCAGCCGGCAGTAAACCAGATACGAGTAAAGGCATGCAACTGGGAATTTCGAGGACAAAAACCCCGAAGAAATTCCAAATCATGCACGGCTTTGTACAGTGTTTTTCAATTTGTAATGGCAGTCATGAGAAGTAAAAAGCGAGGAAATAAGTGGATCCGAGGAAAAGTTGCATGCCTGCAAGTACTAAACGCTGGATGACAACTTGGCTCAGTTTCAATTTGCTCTTGCAAAGAAAATATTTTTTTGAGCATGAAAATTCGGTTCAAGTCCCATTATTGAATGGAGAGGTACCTATTTGGGGGACTTAGATTACAAAGCTTGTATCACTCTCAGAAGCTTGCGACACCGTCATGGTGTCTTTGTCAACTGCTGTTGTCTTGACCATGCTCGTGACCAAGTGACCATGCATGGTTGTACGAGGCAGTCGTACACGTGGGCCAGCTTGTATTCTCCATCTCTGTCCATATATGGGGGCACGATAACGCCAGTTGATAAAGACACTGTGAGGGTGTCGCAAGCTCCTGTTACGAGCTCTGTAATAAGCCAGTTTAGTATTTCAACTGTGCATGCACACAATGAATACATGAAGGCACATAAACACGCGCAGACCAGGGCGCACGAAGCTTCCCAGTTAATTACAAGCAGATTAAAGGCGCATAAACGCGCACACACCCAGGCGCACAAAGCTCCCGTGTTAGTTACAAGCAAAAATGGGTGTGGGTGTCCGCGTAACATTGCGTATCATCACGTCAGAGATTTTATCCCGAATGTCCTTTGACGTGGACTACTTCATCAAGATACCGAACTGACTTATTGAAGTCCCAATGAGGTACATGCACCTTTTTACTTAATACACTTTCTGTGCTGAGCAAATTCCTGTAGAGTATGGCTAGATTGCTATTGGGAATTTTTGTACTGATCAGTCGTTATTTGAGCAAGATGTGACCAGTAGTTTTTGAGTTGGACAAAAAAGTATTATGGGGGACTTTTTGGGGGGGGGGGGGTTGATTGTAGTGGTAGCATTTTGTAGCTTTAGGTGAGGTTAGGGTTAATGCACGCAAAATCAACTTGGTTCTCTGACCCCTGGTCTTATTTAAAGACTGCCATTGCGATTGCCGATGTTATTGAAATTGTGCACATTCCTGTGCTTAGCCGCTCTATGAAATGGACCCTGCAGACCATTTTCACAACAGATATTCTTGACAAGAAAACAACCCACACAAACCCCAAACAAACTAAAGGCGGATTTTCCTTGGGACACAGCCGGAGTTGTGATTCCTGAATTAATCAGGGATCTGTGATTGGCACCAACAGGCCTTTTAACACTATCGTCTCGCCTACCTGTGTTGAAATCATCACAGGTCAACAAAAAAAAAAAAATAAAAAAAAAAAAAATTAAAGGTTAGGCCAAAAAAAAAAATAAGTCGGTCTCTGGTCAGCGCGCGCGTCGATTTTAATCATGCGCGTCAATCTTTTTTTTTTCCAAAATGTTCCGCGTTAGCTCCAACAGCGCCCTCTATTTCCGCACCTCCTCATATTTTTTTTACCAAAGAGCACCAAGGAATGGGAAATTGCACCAAGGCAAATGATCGAAAGCACCAAGGCAAATTATGGAGGACACTAATGTACATGAGGACACCAAAAAAGCAAAATAGTACCCCACCTTGTCTGTACAATCCAAGCTTGAAGAAAAAAAAAAAAAAGGAAAAAAAAAAAAAAAAAAGCCGCGTGGCTGCGTCAATTCCGGAACTTTGGTCTGACCAGAGACCGAATATTTTTTTTTTTGGCCTTATAAATACAAAAAAAAGATGAAATAATCGGCAGAGGTTTTGGGGCCGCCGAGGGCCAAACAAACAACCTAGGGTCTATGATAATGTATTTACCTAAAGGTAGCCCTTAAAATCCCCATTTATTTTGTTTGAAGGGAGTGTACATTATAGGCTTTCGCTGTAATTTTCAGCAATGAACTATTTGGGGGGTTAGTATAATAGATCAAATATTGTTACGCTGACATGTTTGAAGTTTTGTGTTCGAAAATGCACAGTTGGTTTTGGGCATATATTTGCAACAACTGTTTTGTCACACGTTAAAAACTGACATGATACAGCCATTAAATTTGTAGTTTTGATGCGTCTTTCTTACGATGGGTTAAGCGAAATCAGTCTTAGGATGTGTCTTGGCTAAAGATCGATCTCAGAGTGGGAACTCGTCTTAAGTCCTAAGATGAGTGGCAAGATAAGACGCGTTTCATGAAATCTGCCCCTGGTGGATATTAAAAAGGATCTGAAAACGTTAGTGTGAATATTTCTACGTCAGGTGTTTTCATTTTTTTTTGTATGTAGACACAGATTAATCCTGTACAAATGTGAATAACTTCAACGATAGCCTTTGCAATGTGACATTTGTTTTTGGCAAAACAAACTAAACAAGATATATCAATCGTTGTGTACAATCTGCCCCGCAACAGAGATGAGGATTGTAATACAGTCTACTCTCGTTATATCAAACTCAGCTGGATCTAGCCATAAATGTTTGTCATACCAGAATTGTGTATTAATGGAGAGCTGGGCCCAGTCTTTGTACACATAATTGCACAGTGACGCCCAAGTTTTTTTGTTTGCTATAACAAGAATTTGTACTAACAGAGTTTGTATGAGTAACGAGAGTTGACTGTTGACCTCATTCAAACTTTAAATAACCTATGGGATTTGATCTCACAAACCACGCCTACATGTACATGTACTTGGGGGATGTACTCCAAATACCTGCAACTTGTACACAAAACCATCTTGGGACCACCTGCCGTGGGAGTCCATTTCACAATTAGGCTGTAGGCTAGTCACTGCCAATGATTTGCGTGTATGTAAAGGTAAAGTAGCCAATTAAAGAGGTTGTGGAATGCTCGAAGACATTTCCGTCATTTTTTGGGTATATGTACAATGTAGCCTAAGGTGTGATGAAATAAAAACGACTATTGTTTCTGTCATGCAATGAGTACAAAGGTTACTTTTGAGAGCTATTTTTCAGGTCCTGTTTCGACCCGAACGTGCAATTTGTGTAAAAGTCGTCGTTGCGGGCAGCAAACAGAACACAGTAAATCGTGACGTAATAAACAGGACTCGTTTATGCTACTCTGCATCGGGAGTCCTGTTTATTACGTCGCAATTTACTGTGTTTTGTTTGCTGCCCGCAACGACGACTTTTACACAAGTTGCACGTTCGGGTCGAAACAGGCATGACAGGACTTGAAAAACAGCTCTCAAAAGTACCTTTTGTACTCATTTTGTGACAGAAACAATAGTCGTTTTTATTTCATCATACCTTAGGCTACATATACGGAAATATATACGGAAATGACGGAAATGTCTTCGAGCATTCCACCACCTCTTTAAACCTCACAGTTACCAATGTGAACTTTTGTTGACACTTTTTATCACCTGTTGAAACTTTTGACCTGTCACTGATCATCCCTAGTTGAGATAATGTACTGACCCTGACGCCTGCTACTTGTGTACAAAAACCTCTCAGATTGTATCACCCACCGGGGGAGTCCATTTCAGGTACAGGGGGTCAATGGTCTTGAGGCTGTTCTTCTTGGAGGTTTTGCTGAGGTACTGATCAATGAGGTCCTGGCGCTTGAGGACCAGGTGCTTGCCCTTCCAGTACTTGAGCATGCTGAGGGACTGCAGGGTGCTGACGATGTCGTAGGGGTTGATGGCCGTCTCCTGGCTGATATCTGAGGCGCAGGTGCAAAAGATACACAAAAATGTGCCAAAATGAAACTACAGTTGAATCTCGTTAGTACAAACTCTGTCAATACAAAATTCTGGTTATAACAAACATAAAGCCTTAGTCCCGACTGTGCATTTATGTGCACAATGAATGGGACTGATGCTCCTCTTAATACAAAATTCTGATATAACAAACAATTTGGCTAGGTCTTATTAAACGATTTTGTATTAGCGAGACTCGACTGTATTCATTTTTGAATCCTCAACTGGGCAGTAAGCAGAGTTGTAACAAGTCACTGTATTTTGTGACTCAGGTCAAGTTCCACGTTGTAAAACACAAAGATTCAAACAAAGCCCAAATATGCATATGGTAAAACAGCTCAAAGCCTGGTTCATACTTCACGCGAAAGCGAAACGAAATTCGTGACGTCAACAATACATTTGAAGCGCGTCCACCATTGTTGACGACGTTAATTTCGCTTCGCACATGCTTTCGCGTGAAGTATGAACCAGGCTTTAAGGGACACTGCGTCATGTAACAGCCCAATTGGGATACAAAATGCGCTTTGAACAAAATGACGTTCATCGGAAAGAACATTTAAAAGTAGGATATAAACATCCACACAACTATTCTTTAAAGACTGGGTGTTTTTGTGTTATTCCTGTATTATGCGTGCGAAAACGACTTTCGGGGTCCACTTTTGCGACCCCAAAAAGTCGAGCTGTTTGGGTGCTATTTGTGATTTCATCCGTAAAGTGTTCGCCTTTTGCGGACGTGTAAGAAACCACATTTTGTGCATTGGTGATTGGTCACCGCTGTTCGCAAGCACGGTGCTGTATTGACACACGCAACGTACATTGACTGAAAACGACAGGAAAAGCGTATTCGTACTCCGTCGTGTCCGATGTAAATAACCGGGTTTTTTTTCGTCTTTTCTCGGGAACAGTAAGACATTAGGTTGGTTTCCTTTCAACCAGATGTTTGAAATAGGATAAGTAAACAACCAAAAACATGAAATTTCCGGGGATTTCAGGACCTAGTGCCCCTTTAACGATGAACTGCAAAATTCTTGATGTATTTTTTATTGTTGTAATAGCATTTTACACGGTCTCATGGCTGTTAACGTTCCTCTATCAACATTTTAAGAAAGTTGGTTTTTATTAGTACATTTTATTTGCCTATTTATTTCTATTTAGTTTTTTTTTCTTTCAGTAAGTTGTATCTTTGCAATTGTTTTAAAATTGTTTTTCTTTCTGTTTAATGTAATTTTATCCTTCTGTAAATCAAACGTTTTTAGTCATTTTACTTTTTGTTTAGTGTTTTTAATGAAATAAACCGAAAAAGGAAGGAATGAATTAATGAAAAAAGTTAATAATTTTAAGGAAGTGACTCCAGTCGAGTCATTAGGTCTAAAAGGTCGAGTCGAGTCAAAGTGTGTGGAAAGAGGAAATTCCAAGCTTTACCAGACTTGATACACTGTTTTTCAATGTTTAACCCTAACTCCCTAGCGTCTTTTACTAGGAACTGGACCAAGTCCATCAAAATCCATCAATCACTCTGCTTCCAATACAAAACTGTACATGACGTAATGGAATCCACCACTGACGCACTAGTTGAAATTCATGGACTTGCTGCACATGGCTTTTATCACAATAGCAGTACAGGAAGCTAGGCAAAATCAATTGGATACGCCTAGCACTGCTCCAGGCCATTAGGCCCAAGTCCATAATACTCCCATCAATATTTAGTCACGCCAGGCCTTCTGGACAATGTCCCACAAAATCTACCAAAATGGGGGGATGGATTTTGATGGAGCTGGGGTGGTTAGGGTTAATGGAAATCTGCTGATCCGAGGCAAAGCTGCATGCCTGGAGAATGCAAAATTAAACAGGTGGGAACTAAAGGTTAAAAAATATTCTATTGCTTTTTAACAGAAACATTCCAATTTAAATCACGTCCGCTGAAAAAGGAATAATAAAAAAATATAAAAAAAATGAAAATGTTCAAATTGGGTACCGCTCAGCAATGTGTACCAATGCATGTCAAACTTTTCCAAGGGCACACTGCAAAAGAATAGCCTCTTCGCCACTATGAATGCATCCAAGTCAAACTGACCTTTGATAGAGAGTTCCCGGCCGTCAAATTTGCTCAGGTATTTGAGCACCACGTCCTTCCAGTAGCTCCGGTAGCTGATCAGCCCCAGGTCAGAGAGAGGCTTCTCTGGTGAGCCAATCTTCTCCTCTCGCTTGGACAGTAAGTAGCCTGGCCAAAAAAACAAGATATCAATAACTCTCCATTAAACCATTAGCACATGTACTACATTGTATTACACTGTATTACACTGTATCACACTGTGTTACACTGTACTACACTGTTTTACCCTGTTTTACACTGTATTACACTGTATTACATTGTATCACACTGTATCACACTGTGTTACACTGTACTACACTGTTTTACCCTGTTTTACACTGTAGTACACTGTATTACATTGTATCACACTGTATCACACTGTATCACACTGTATTACACTGTTTTACACTGTATTACACTGTATCACACTGTGTTACACTGTACTACACTGTTTTACCCTGTTTTACACTGTAGTACACTGTATTACATTGTATCACACTGTATCACACTGTGTTACACTGTATTACACTGTATTACATTGTAGTACACTGTATTACATTGTATTACACTGTATTAGGCCCAAAAAAAAAAGTCTCCGGTTTCTGGTATGGAGCTTGCCCCGAAAGTGGTGCGGCGACGCGGCTTTTTTTTTTCTTTTACCTGTTTTTTGGGTTTTTTTGGCTTCAAATGTCGGCTGATGACTGCAAATGGTGCCCGACTAAACTTAGTGCAAATATATGGGAGTCCAGAGAGGCCACATAAAGCTTATTCTCGATCATAACCCCATCTAAAAACACGTTAAAATTGTGCAGCAGCAGAATTCCGGTCAAACCAGTGAGTTTGGCGGTTTTGAGACATCATCTTTTATTGAAAAAAAAACTTTTTCATTTTGCCGACGCGCATGGCTACGGCGACGCGCGCGCATACCAGAAACCGGAGACTTTTTTTTTTGGCCTTACATTGCATTGTATTACATTGTATTACATTGTATTCATTCCCGACCCCAATGAATCCATAAAACTGTGTAGTGCTCCGAGCCGTTTGGAGAAATACAGGGAGTACTCGGCTGGGCGGTTTAGGGCGGTGAAATTGAAAACTTTAACAACAAGTGTTCAAGTCTGTAGGGCGTTGTTGCATCGGGCAAACATACACTAGAGCCATAAACAGTCCCATCATACAATTCTACTGTTGAATCCTGCTGCAGTTGGCAACCAAAGACTCTGAGGCAGTATGGTCTTTCGGGAAGTTGACCTGGTAGATCTTGTTCAACCGGGCAGCCTGTTGTATTTCATTATATTCAGTGCGGTTCAAAACCGAGAGGGTGGCAAGAACCTAATTTTTTATTGGCTTTTCCGCACAGTTGCGGAGCGTAGTTGCGGAAAAGCCTTTCTCTTTGTTCTTTTTTTTTTTTTCCCCCTCTTCTTTTTGTTCTTTCCAAATCCCATAGACTTTGTACATGATTTTTGTGACATCCACTTTTGGCATAAATCTTTGTCATACATCATTCAAAGTCAGCATAGGCATTATTCGAGGGATCTCTAGCGGCAGGTGATCACTGGTCTTGCGATGTAGTCTTAAAAGTGCATATTTTAAATAATATATCTAAAGAACCGTAGGTCCAAGAATTCAATTGAAACGTTGTAGATGCATAGTCAGGGACGTGTTATTGATAAAAAAGCATCATGCGAAAAGACCCTATAAGTCCAAGAGCCAGGGGCCATTTATTGTTTGGAAATGACCAAGTGTTTAGTGGGTATTTTTGAAAAGGTTACACCTTGGGCAATTCGAATTGGCTAGTCTTATGGTTACCTGGCGGTGGACCTGGGTACCAGGAGCAGATTAGTGACGTCCCATAAGCAGTGATTAGGACATGCAACAGCCGTCGGGTCAGAAATGGACTGTGTGCGTATGTACAGAACGTATGTATTACTGACCCAGCGGCTGTTGTATGTCGTACTCAACGATGGACAACACTGAGAAGCATATGGGCCTTGTTCACGTTTTTTTAAAATTTTTAAATGATTTCAATAGACGAGTGTTTAGAAGAGATGTCCGAGTACTATGAACAGCCTTTCACGTGGGTGGTTTCAAACCACCTTTTAAACACAACTTGGTGTTTACATTTAAATGGCGCTGTTTTAAACCAGCCGCGTGACCATGCGATTCGCGCATTACGCATCGCTTGCGCTGGCTACAAACACGTAAAAATAAAAGTGATGTATTATAAGATGGAATTTTGCGTCTGGGTGATATAAATCAAATTAGGTTTTGCCCTTCACCGACGTTTAAACACTGTATACTCAGTGTGTTACCTCCCGAGTGAAAGTTGGAAAAATCACTCGGGTGGGACTCGAACCCACGACCTCCTGCTTTCTAGTGCAGATGTCTTACCACTCGACCACCGAGCTAACGGGATCGTACTTACTGAAGTCAATGATCATTTTGCCATAAATATAAAAGTGATGTCTTACTGAAGTCTTTGATCGTTTTGCCGTGAATATAAAAGTGATGTACTTACTGAAGTCTATGATCATTTTGCCGTGACCCTGTCGCATAAACTGTGGCAAAGTCAGGATGCAAGAGACGTTGTAATTCAGGAAGGAATTCTTCTCCTGAGGGCAAAAAGAACACACACACAAAAAGATGTTGTTTTCCCCATTCACTGATACTGTACTTGGGTCACTTTCACGAGTGACCAAGTAGAGGCAGGGATAAGGGCTAAGGGAAGAATGTAAAATGAAACAAGTGGTTATAAAAACCTTGTGTTCTACAGGTTCAGGATGAGCCTTGAGTTACTGACGACATGTATCTTATTTTGCATTCAGTGTTGTAGCGAGTACTTTTTCCGAGTACTGCCGAGTACTTAGGTTGCCGAGTACGAGTACGAATACTTGTACCTCCTAGTACAAGAACAGGTCTCAGAGTACGAGTACTTGTACTTACAAGTACGAGTACTGTACTTCCGAGTACGAGTACGAGTACAAGTACTTGTATTTCCGAATACGGCCATCCGGCAAATGGTCCATTGTGCGTAATTGGCCCAGGCCCAGTCAGACCGATATACAGACCCACTCAAAGCTGGCTGTTAAATGTATTTGTCCAGACGTGCACAGAGGAAAATCAGGAAACTTTGATTTCTCCACAAGGCAATCAACCATTTCAAACTGAAAGTATCGATAAAATAAGGCCGTGGTATATAGTCAAGCTACACAATTTTTCCCCCCGAGTACTGCTAATCGACTACTAGTACTTTGATGATCAAGTACAATTTCGACATGTCGAGTTCGAGTACTTTGCTGCCCGAGTACGAGTACCATCACTTCGAGTACAAGGACTTTGACATTCGAGTGCGAGTACGAGTACTCCAAAAAAGTACTTGAGTAGTACTCGAGTACGAGTACCGAGTACGAGTACTACAACACTGTTTGCATTCTCCCCTCAGTAAAGGACGACATCCTTATTCAAACTGGGGTTCCCCCAAGGATTTTTCTTCTTGGGCCCAGAGAACCTCGACCCACCTGTTTAGATACTTTGAGAAGGGATTACATATATGTTCACCAAAAACGCCTACTGAAGAGATGGTGCTCAAACGTAACGCTCATGCATCATTATACTGAAAAGTTAAAGGTACAGTCCATCATTTGCAGCTATCCAAAAAGTAACTGACGTAATTATTGTTGAAAAGCATACTTGGTTGAAAGATAGTAAGGGGACTAAACTCCCTATGAAATTATTCTTGCTGGCACGCTATCATTTTGAAGAAATCAATGAAAGAAGGTCTTCCCAATGGTGCGTCTAAAGACTTATCGTTGGAAATTTCCGTTAGTAGTTCGCTCTTTTTTTTTATTCGGCGAAGCGAGCACAAGCGTTGACACGACGCACACGCACGCACGCGCGGTTGCTATAATTCGTCAGTTCAGTGCGCGACATCGCCCAGCTACAATCGACTCAGTGAGAATGTGCCTCGGACGCTGAATTCGGGCCCAATTTCAAAACATGACTCGGAAACTATTGATTTGAAATCGAGATCCTAGAATAATGTTTCCTCGGAATAAATAGCATTCACTGAGCTGAATCTTCACCAGGTTTAATAGTTGTTCAGCACCCTTCTTTAGATTTTGTGCACTTTTGTTGCTTCAAACGAACATAATGCACAAATTACAAATTGATGGACGCTACCTGTAAGTACCACGGTGGGAAACTGCTCAAATAATGCGATGGCGTCTCGCAGAGTTGTCAACTTTGGTCAAAGGAATCAGTGATTGTGACACAATACCTTAGAGAAGTAGCCAACTATATGGCACCCTGTGGAATCGTTGAGAGTCATGATGTAGAACAGGAACGGCTCCACGTCGTAGTACAGGGTCTTGTGGTCCAGAAACAACTTGGCAAGGAGACACAGGTTCTGGCAGTAGATCTGGGCGTCCAGAAAGAAAGAAATCTAATCAACAGGAATCACTCTGTGAAAGGAAACTACAAGCCTCTTCCCCCAGAGTGCAAAACATGTTGCAGACCAATTCCCAAAGTTTTGTGGGTTTTTTTTTTTGGGGGGGGGGGGGGGAGATAGCTACAGATTCGGGTTTTGTCGTTTTGGGGATAGGCAGAATTGGCACAGACGCAGCCATTATTTATTTTTTTTCATGGCAATTGAGCAAAAAGAACCTTCCCTTTCTGGCTGGCAAATTCAACATAGCCGTCCCAGCAGTCAAAATCAAGCAAGTCAAAATCAAACAGATGAGTGTTCCCTGCTTACACAAAGTAGGGCTGACTGGCTATGACTGATTTTAACAGTTGAAGGTTCCCTGCTTACACAAAGCAATATTGACCAGCTGTGACCGTTTATGAGATGTTATACAGCTATGCTTTGACTGTAGAAGATTGATACTTAAGCCAGAAATCAAAGAACAGGAATCAAAGAAGCCATCTGGGAAACAACAGAACGACCACCACTTACAAGGGAGGTCACATATCAATCTATCTCACACACTGGGCCAGGCCAGGGGTGTGATTGGACAAAAATGAAAAATCCACGAACTTCGGTTGACATGTAATATACATGTACATGTACATGTATTATTGTACATGTACTTGTATAGATGTACATGTATACATATGCATGCACGTATGTTCATATATAGGCCTAGGGCATGTACATTTTATGTACTGTAATTTCTGTAATGTTAGCAAATTTTGTCGCTTCAGTAAAGAAAACAAATGGGGGAAAAATTAAGAAAAAACGTCTGGTCATTAAATAATATAATCCATATGATTGATTCATAAAGGCTTTTTCTGTGTGTGATGTTATTACTTTTGCATGTTGCAGAGAGAAACGATTCACACAAAACAATATGAACGGTGCTGAAAAAAGTTTAATCTTACTTTCAACTCCAGTCCCAGCCCCAGGCTTCCAAAACATTTTTGAAATTTTGTGTTGGTGGTGGCTATTTTTCAAAGCACTACTGCAGCTCAAACTGATTTCCATCCACAGTGACACTTTATTACCAGTTCTTCCAGCCATACTCTTGAATTCCTTGACAAAATCGCGGCAACGCCAATGTGTTTGCGAATTGCTAGCATACGATCGTCACTGCACACTACATGCACAATACACACACACATCCACACGCGAAAAAAAACACGAGGTGCTGCAAACCCATTGAAAATTATTTTTAGTCTGGTCCTCAAGTACTCCACTGCGCATACTGCAATAATGTCTATTAGGTTCTTGACCGCACTGCATTAGACTTGTCACCAGTCCATCCATTATCGTAAATTAGAGCCTATATTTCGCCAGAAGTTTTTGGGCGATATTATATTACGGAAACAGAAAACGTTAAAAATCCGGAATCCTCAAAACAATTCCGCAGACGTTAGATACAAATCCGGAAATCCGGAAAAATCCGGAAAAATCACACCCCTGCCAGGCCATTCAGAATATTCCTAGCTGTCCATCACATGACCAGTCTACAGGGCGAGTAAAAAAAACCGAAACCCAAATGTCGGGACTATTGTTTTAGTGAAGTTCTGCATGTAGCACTTTCAAAATATATAGGATATGAAAGCCCAATTTATAAGCTTCCTTGTAGAACAAGAATCATTCAAATCACTCATGTAATTTTTAAGTCACAGAATTTTAAACACAACCACCGTTTTAAAGTTCTGTCAACGGATCACAAAAAGGTAAGTTTTCTTTCAGCAAAGCGAAAACAAAGCACATAGGGATGTGTGTGAATTGATTTCGTTTTGCTGAAAGAATGCACACCTTTTTTGTGATCCGTGGACAGAACTTTAAAACGGTGGTTGTGTTTAAAATTCCGTAACTTGAAAAGTACAAGTGTTTTGAATGATTCTTGTACTAAAAGAAAGCTTATGAATTGGGCTTTCATTTCCTAGATTTTGAAAGTGCTACATGCAGAACTTCACTAAATCAATAGTCCCAAAATTTGTTTTTTTGTTTTTTTACTCACCCTGTATTGATTGACGATGTCTGACGAAACATAGCAAATTGTAAGTCCAGTATTTAGACATAGTGATATTTTTATATGTATCATTAAGATATACTTTTATAAACAAACCAAGAGGTTCACATTAGATGCCCGTACCTTGTTTTTCTTCCCGTCCACTTCAAAGAAGGAGATGTTGCATTTCCTGTAGATCTCGTCGCCCGGCGGATGCCTCCATATGCACTTGGCCGTGTGCCGGCGTAGAATCGTGGAGCTCTTCATGTACTTGAGGCAGAACTCGCAGATGTAGAGCCTGGGGAGGCGGGCGTACTCCTCCGGGTACGGGGAGCTGTACCAGGTGCCCAGCTCAAAGCGACCAAAGTCAATCTTTTTCAGGACGCCGTCGTAAGGTGCGTTGTTGTACTCCCGCTCCTGATAAGAACAGGTTGATTTAATTGCTTTAATAAATAAAGCTATAGTCCATCATTTGCAGCCATCCGAAACAGTTATTGTTGAAAAACATACTTGGTTGAAAGATAGTAAGTGGACTAAACTCCCTCTGAAATTAATCTTTCTGGCAAGCTATCATTTTGAAGTAATCAACGAAAGAAGGCCTTTCCAACGTTGCGTCTTAAGACGCACCGTAGTAAAATTTAAATTAGTAGTTCGTTTTGTTAATCGGCGCAGCACGCGCAAGCATTGGCACGACGCACAGGCGCGCGCGGTTGCTATAATTCGTCGGATCAGTGCACGGCATCGCGTATAGCTGCAATTCAAAACATGATTCAGCAACTTTTGATTTGAAATTGAGATCCTAGAATGCTGTTTTTCTCGGAATATACAGCTGAAGCTGAGCTGAAACTTCATCAGGTTTAGTTGTTCAGTATCCTTCATTGGATTTTGAACACTTTTGTTGCCCCAAACGAACAAAATGCACAAATTACAAATGATGGACTATACATGTATCTTTAATTGCTTTAATTCCTTTTTGAGTTCTGTACTCTTTGAGGTACCAGTACGGCCGGGGTGCAAGGACGGTTTCGTATAGCGTCTTCACACGTTACCTGGCCTTGCTGCTACCCGACCGACATGGGTGGTACCACTTGGTACTTGTTATTTGACATGTTTTAAGCCTTACCATTTCTTCAGATGCTCTGATCTGTGCCTGCCTGAAGAGGTCCATGTCGTACTGCGACGTCAGCCCATCCAGCAGTGGCTCCCGGCTCTTGTGGAACTCCTCCCGGTGATTGCGGTTCTTCTCTCGCTGCTCCGCGCTCAGCTCTTTACGCTGTCTTCTCATCTCTAGAACCTGGTATTTCTTCTGCTGCTTCATCCGCGACAGATTCTGCGCTCATTGTGTGGAGGGAAACAAAAATGTACAACTCACTCAGCAAGGTTTCCGGTTGGAAGCCCTCCCATCCAAAATGTACGTAAGTACGATGCGATTTGCACCCTCTTGTGGTACGATCCCTAGTTTGTCATTCCGGAAAATAACTCTCATTTATGTGAGCAAAGCGACGATATCTGTGAATGACAAACTTGGGATCGTACTACAAGAGGGTGCATGTCACAGCGTATTAACTTTGGTCCGACGCCTCATAAATCCGACGCCTCATAGGTCCGACGCCTCATAGCTCCGACACCTCGTAAGTCCGACAAATTAAATGCCTCGTTTTTCCGTTGTCGGACTTTTGAGGCGTCGGACTTGTGAGGCGTCGGACCTATGAGGCTGAAAAAATAAATGTTATGCCTCACAAGTCCGACGCCTCATAAGTCCGACAACGGAAAAACGAGGCATTTAATTTGTCGGACTTACGAGGCGTCGGAGCTATGAGGCGTCGGACCTATGAGGCGTCGGATTTATGAGGCGTCGGACCTATGAGGCGTCGGACTTATGGGCCTTTATTTGGTTAGGGGATGCGATTTTGTCGGACTTATGAGGCGTCGGACCTATGAGGCGTCGGACTTATGAGCGGACCCCTTAACTTTAACCCACAAGGCCCTTTTGGCTAGGGACCATCCTCAATCCTGCAAAATCCTCCAATTGCCACCATATGTACAAATTGGATTCATCCTCAATCCTCCGAAATCATCCGTTATTTCTTGAATTTGTTCAGTGGAGGGGTGACCATTGCCTCAAACCTCCAAAATCCTCCTCCATTCACTGCTATGGCTTGAGTCAGTACCGATGACATTCAGAAGCAGTGCGGATGATATCCAGCATAATGCAGGGTTCCATTATGCATGGCTGAACGTAAGGAATGCTGGGTACAGCCTACGACCTCGACCCATTGCATCCTCCAAAATCAACCGGCACTTTTTGCCATTCATCCTCAATCCTCAAAAATACTCCAAATCTGCAATGAGGATTTCGGAGGAGTGAGGAGGGTTAGGGTTAACCCTTTCCTTACCATGGGCGACTTTTGTCGACAAGAAGTAGTCCCCTGCTGGTTCCCATGGGCGACTTTAGTCGACCAGGAAACCACACACAAAACACCCTCAACACAGATAAATTCACTACGTTTCAGAAAGGCGGCATGTTGATATGTTTGGCCGCCCATACATCAACTATATACCAGCTGAAAGAGTGTTTTCGGATCTTTCTATTGGTGTGGTTTATTCATAGTGTTACCACACACAAAAAATGAGAAAAGTGCTTCAGAAGTATCCACGCACAATTTGAGGTATGGAGTGCCATTTGGTCATGTGGTGAAATGGCTTGCAGTTTGATAATTGGGACCAGATGAACAAAAAGGCATAACTTTCTTATATTTGCACGTATGGACTTCATTTTTACATCACATAAAAGAGTAAGGTTCAAGGAACAAACTTTACACACAACATTTATGATTTTAATCACTCCTTCGCAAGGAAAATCTGGTTTGAAAAAAGTTAGTTTTTGACTCGTGCTCATTTTGTTCACGCACTAGTGATTTCCGCATGACTGAGCAAACAATTTGGTCCTGGGGGGCCCTAGTCAATAAACAATGTGGGCATGAAAGGGTTAATGTACATTTTGGACGGGAGGGCTTCCAACCGGAAACGTTGTAAATCCCAACATTGTGGTACACTAGTCCCACGTAAAGCACAGTCAGTTAACTAGTGCAGTACTCATCCTAACAGATTCCAACAAATCATGGTGTTGGAATTTGGCTGGTTGGGGATCATTAAAGTTAAGACCAGCCATGGAAAAATTACACTGATAAGAACAAGGACAGTCTTTTTAGGTGGTTCTTCATTTTGTCACATTAACCCCAACGTACCTGGTTCCATCAAAATCAACACCCCTGTTTTGGAGGATTTCGGCAGATTCAGGATACCTCCGTATTAAGCAGTAGGGGGATTTTGATGGATTCAGGATCTCAACTGTTTAACTCGTTGTCAATTCCACGGTTACTCACGTTACATTTTTGATGTACTTTTGAGTTTCCTTGGGCTGTAATTACCTTTACTGAAAAGGTTTGATAACTGTTATCCCCATGGTAGATAGAGTAGACCTAGACCTACATAAGCACCAAAGATGACATCCAGAAAAATGAGTTATGTATGATAAACGAGACGCACAATGTCGGTTACTCACGCTACATTTTCGTAACATGAGTAACCGATTTTGTGCGTCTCGTTTATCATACAGAACACATTTTTCTGGATGTCATCTTTGGTGCTAAGGTAGGTCTAGGTCTACTTTATCTACCATGGGGATAACAGTTATTTAACCTTTTCAGTAAGGTAATTACAGCCCAAGTACATCAAAAAAGTAACGTGAGTAACCGTGGAATTGCCCATATTTTTGGTGTGTACGAGGTATATGTACTTCACTGGTGGATTCTGATGGACTCACTGGTGGATTCTGATGGACTTAGGACACCAACATTTTTTGCAAGACAAAATAGATGGATTTTGAAGGACTCAGGATACTTTCTAGTGAAAGTGCCCAAGGAGTTAGGGTTAAGGAATTGATGTCTATCCACTCACCGACTGGCGCAGATTCTTGCCGGCAAGATCTTGGTCCTCGCCTTCCTCCTCAGCCTTTTGCTTGGCCTTGTCAGCCCGGGTCTCGGCCCGTGCCTTGCACTCTGCCAGGGTCATGTTGTGGTAGATGGGGCAGCCAGAGACCGTGCGGTGCTTGCTGAATTTCCCGGTGATGTGACCTGATGGAAGAATAATATCCAGATAGGGTCTGATCGTAGGATGTCCAAGTAGCATGTGAACCATCCGGTACCCCGTGACTGGTCACCATTGACTATCGGCATTATCGTCATCATGATTTTTAAAGCACTGCATTTCGTACAACACAATCTGAAACTCCCGACAATACCGCAACATGTGGAGGTTAGTGCAGTCGAACTCCACATGCAACACCCTTGAAGCTCTGTACGACGTAGTTTCAGACGTGTTGAACGTTAATGCATATTTCCAGCCGTACACTACTGGTACTCCAATCCGTGCTTACCTATTCGCTTCTACCGTACAATCTGCGCACGGACGACTGGTGGAACAGATTCAAATTGCGCTCGCAAGACAGATATCGTGGTGTCGTTTTCATCATATTCGTTGAAATTTAATTTGGCACAACTCATCACGAATAGTCAAGATGGGGGCTGGTCCTTAACACCCTGCCAAGTATACCACCGCAAACGGTTTCAATGAATTGAAAAGAAAACAACGATTGCATGTGGTTTCAAAACGGGAGTGCAGTCAGTTTCAACACCCGATAAAACTGTGCATATATTTTCTCTGTTTTATTTTCCACACAATTTTTCAGTTTTCTAAAAATATATGTAGTAGCCACTGGGCTGAAACTCCAACAGGTGAGTGTTATGCACCCTGCACAAAAAGCAAACGATACTTTTTAATAAGCACCGTCGATATGAGAATTTTCAATAATCGATATATTGGAAATCCAATATCGTGTATATTCGATATATCGATTATGAATGAGTTAAGTCAATATAAAAGATCCAGGAAATCTCGCACCTGTTATTAATTTTTGTGGTCCCCGGTACATTAATATTGTACGGAGGACAATAGAGTGATTCCTTGTTTGCATGGGGGACGTATTAAGTCGTGTACCCCAAACACGATGGGTTTTCTCACTCACAAACACAATTTGCCACCGACTTTTATTCCATTATACAGCAAACATTAAACACAGAGTACAACCACAAACAGAAGATTTATTTTGACGATATTCTAACGCATTTTGATACTGTCGATATCATCCCTCAATATCAAAATTTTTGATATTTTCAATATTATCGAAATTTCGATATTTCGATTTGATCGGCGATATCGATATCAAACTAATATCGACTAATCAAGTAATATCGATACATCGACGGTGCTTACCTTTTAATGTTTGACAACAGAGACTCTCTGATAAAAAGCCCCTAAATAATTAGTTAAAGTAACCCTGGTCAAGGCGTTCAACGATAGAGTCTGTCGATCAGTGATCATTCGCCAACAAAACAGTAGCAGTGCTATGCAATCACACGTACTGTACAAAGCGTGAACAGCGCCCTCATGCGCCTAGGCTACAATATGCAAATCAGGTGGTGCTGAACAAACACCTTGGAACAACCGTAGCAGTGGCTTATCATTTTTGGGCAATTTTCGTCATTTTGTCGCTGGATTTATCATCAAGTTATTCGAGTAGTTGTAGTCGAGTACTTTTTTCTGAGGACCGAGTGCTGCCGAGTACTTAGATAACCGAGTACGAGTACAAGTATGAGTACTTGTAGTTCCGAGCACAAGGACAGGTCTCCGAGTACGAGTACTTGTACTTCCGAGTAGGCGTACGAGTACTTGTATTCAAAGAACAAAACTCGTACAAGTACTTCTATTTCCGAATACAGCCATATGGCAAATGATTCATTGTGCGTAATTTGCCCAGACCGATATACAAACCCACTAACGGCTAGCTGTTAAATGTGTTTGTCCGGACGTGCACAGAGAAAAATCAGGAAACTTTGCTTTCTCCGCAAGCCAATCAACCATTTCAAACTGAAAGTATCGATGAAATAAAGCCTTGGTTAGTCAAGCCACACCATTTTTTCGAGTACGAGTACTTTGATGATCGAGTACAATTTTGACATGTCGAGTATGAGTACTTTGCTGCCCAAGCACGAGTACCATCATTTCGAGTACGATTCTTTTGACATTCGAGTACGAATATGAGTACGAGGATTTTGCAGGATTGAGGCTAAAAAAAAACTCCTGCGCGTCCACCGCAACTCAACGAAACCCGTGGAGAGAGAGAGATGAGCAAGAAATCTCCGGCTTTCTCAGATTAACAGAGACATATACATTCTTAAAAAAAAGGACTCGAGTAGAACTCGAGTACGAGTACCGAGTACAAGTACTGCAACACTGATATTTGGTCTGCGAACTCCAAACCTGACGGAGAACGTAACCACACTATCCAGCTCCCCATCCATGTAACATTTGAGCCTCCATGACCAAATGTACAGAATAATATCACCTGTATTTGCTTATAAGGTCTTTGCTGGAAATCCATCGACAAAACAAAGAAAAAACATAAGCGAACACTCATGGATGTTCCAAGGCGTTCGTTTAGCACGAGCTAATTTGCATATTGTAGCCTTGCCGCGTGAGGTCGCTGTTCGCGCTTCGTGCAGTCCGTGTGAGTGCATAGCGTACGGCTAATGCTGTTCGCGGCCAACCATGGATCATAGCTGAACACCTTGACCAAGGCTACTAAATAACACCGTTGCTACTGTAATTTTAACTTACCGAGTGAATCACAGCCTGGTACCGGACACTTCAGCTCCATGATATCCAGCGACCGTTGAACCTGTGCCACAGCTATCAGCTTGCTCTTGCGCTGTCTGGTTTCGAACTCTGCATTCAGGACCACACCTAGTAAACATGCATAGCAACAACACATCCAATTTAAAATTTACCAGGATTTAACTTAATCAGGTTTTGTTGTTGTTATGAAGCCTCCCTACCATTTTGAGCAATTTTAGAGCTTTTCAATGTAAAACAAAATAAGCACATCAAGCAAATGGTGTATATCTTTATTAAACCCTAACCCTCTCAAATCCTCTAAAATCTTCTTTGCAAAATGTAGGATTTTGCAGGATTGAGGTTACATAGCAAAGTATGCACCATGTCAAGGTCTTGAGCCAGACTTTGTGTTGTTTATGCTCAGCCTTGCATAAATTTAGGCCTACATTATACTTGAAATCTTCCACACTGCTCCAGAATGTCACTGGCTCTGCCTCAACAAAGTGACAGTGATTGCCAGAGGATTTTGCAAGATCGAGGCGGTGGTCACCCTCCAATGACAAGACTCAAGACATAACGGAGGATTTTGCAGGATTAAAGGCTATATGCTTTTTTTACATGGAGCCAGTTGGAGGATTTTGCAGGATTGAGGTTACATCCTAGCAAAAATGCCTCAGGCCAAAAAAAAAAAGGCTCCGGTTTCCGGTATGCGCGCCCGTCGCCGTAGCCATGCGCGTCGGCAAAATGAAAAAAGGTTTTTTTTGAATGAAAGATGATGTCTCAAAACCGCCGAACTCACTGATTCGACTGGAATCCTGCTGCTGCACAATTTCAACGTGTTTTTAGATTGGCTTATGGTCGAGAATAAGCTTTATGTGGCCTCTCTGGACTCCCATATATTTGCACTAAGTTTAGTCGGGCACCATTTGCAGTCATCAGCCGACATTTGAATAAAAAAAATCAGGTAAAAAAAAAAAAAAGCCGCGTCGCTGCACCACTTTTTGGGCAAGCTCCATACCAGAAACCGGAGACTTTTTTTTTTAGCCTAAGGAGTAAGGGTTAAACATTCCAAAATCCTCCTTGCGTCAGTGGAGGATTTTGAAGTATTGAGGATATGGTTAAAATGTGTTGCTGATTTTGAAGGCATTTTGCAAAGAGGATTTTGGAGGATTCGGGAAGGTTACGGTTAAATAATGCAAGGTTAATGTGACAAACACCAAGGGATCCTGACCTGGTTTGCCCAGCGAGTTGCTGAGGTTATCCTCCTCCCTCTTGGCCCTCTTCTTGGGGCTGTGGGAGGGGCCCGTCGAACCGTTGGACTCGCCGTCCGACGTGCCGCTGTTCGCTGGGGGATGGCCGCGCTTGCGCTTGACCGGCGTGGTCTTGGTGTTACTGTCCGTGTCTGAGCTTTCCGCCGAGTTGGAACCGCTGGAGCCTCTCTTGCGTCCCTTCAGGGGGGACCTCCGGAAAGGTTGTACTAACAGTGCTGTTGAAAAATACATTTAAGAATGTATTAAATAAATAATTAAATAACATGTACTTGTAAATGCTTGGGATGGAAGGCAGTTCAAGTTTCCAGACTGAAACTGTTCTCGATGTATATATACAATGTATACACAATGTATACAGGGTGACCCCCAAAAAAATTCAAAAATGTGATCTGTGAATTGTTACGTTTTGGATATCAGATTAACCTTAACTCCCTAGGCCTTTTTGCTAGGATGTAGCCTCAATCCTGTAAATTCCTCCATTTTTTCTGGAATATGGTCCGTGGAAGGGTGACCACTGCCTGAAGTCCTGCGGCAGTGACTGTCAATATGTTGAGGCTTGGCCAGTGACATCCTGGAGCAGTATGGAGGATTTCAAGCATAATCCATGCCTATATTTATGCAAGGCTGAGCAAAAACAACACAAGGTCCGGCCCAAGGCCTTGACAACATGCATCCTACGAAATCAGTAACGCACTTTTGCCATGTACATGTAACCTAAATCCTCCAAATTAGGCAAAGACGATTTTGAAGGATTCAGGGCGGTTAGGGTGTAAAGCTGCGAGCTTTTTCTTTCAAATACTGAAAAAAATCATAAAAACATCACATAGGTGCAAACGTGTTCTTTACAATTTCAAAAAAAGTCTCAAATCAATTACAGGAGGACGTATATCCCTGCATGTATTTCATCATGGCATTTCAACTTAGATCTAAGTTTACCTGTTACGGGAAGACCTGTGCTTTCTCAATATTGCCCCATCTTTCTTACGACTTTCTAAACCAACTGTCACCAATGTGGCATCAGGATACAACATTTTTTCCAGTTTATTCTTGAGACACAATACTTCAAATTCGTCACCAGATTCGTCAAGTTCGGTAATCAATAATTTCGGTTTCGCGAACTGACACCCATGTGTGCGCGCGAACTGCGTACACTGACACGAAACAGAATGGTTTTCGTTTTCACGTTCCGAGACGCAAGCATGTGGCGGAAATAAAATATCATTTGGAGAAAAACGCTTTGAAAGGTTTGACACAAATTTAATCAATCCAAATACTGGCGGGCTTACACAAAAATTGAATTAAAAACTTTTTAATGGTGAAATGAAGGTCGGTTTCAGCTCGTGAAAACGAACATGTAAGGAGTGCGCGCATGCAGTGACGGGTGTCAGTTTGTGAAAACGAAAATAGCCATGATAGCGCGGTTCTGTAAAATACGCGTGCGAGCTGGGCACTCACGCGCAACTGAGTGTCAGTTTGTGGTGTCGGTGACGAACTGACCTACCTGGGCCTAAGGTTAGGCCTTGTCAAAATCTACTACAACCGGCAATAATGCACGCAAGTCGGTGTGTGGCGGCTGCAGCTGGTAGCTGGTGGCTTCCACACATGTACACGTAGGTGCGCGTGTTACACACACCTGTATCCAGGTGGTTCGGGCACAGTCTTATCATGCTTATAGCAAATTGATCTGCACAGCAAAACTTGGCAGAGAACCAGTAATAAGCTATGTTCACTTCATGACCTTTTGGCTGGTTACCTGGGCAAAATTCACAGTGCTGCTGAACAGCCGATTTTTTGCTTAGAGACCCATCTATTTCATGGAGATCGTAAGCAGTAAGCAGTAAGGGGGAAACAGGTGGGGGGGGACACCTCTTTCATTTTTCAAAAAGCCCAGACAAGAAACTAATTTTTTTTTTTTTTACTTGGCCTAACAGCTCCACGGGCTTGGCCCCTGGCTGAGACCTTTAACCGTTACAATTCTACAAACCTTGATTGGTTGCTCTTGTTTGGAGCCGTGTGGAGGTCCTGGTCACGCGCCGGTTGCTGGACTCCTCATCGGTGCTGGAGGTATCGACTTCACCCGAGCTTTCTGATTCCTCCTCCGACACGAACTCGGAGCCAGAGCTGCTGTCTTGTCTTGACTGACGATGACAAATACACACATAATTAATATGACTAATATTTAAAATTTGAGGCTTTGCATGGTGGGGTATCGGTATCATTTCGGTTTGCAGTAACACCATGTGGTAATAACTACTGCTTAGAAGATATTAGTTCTGAGAAGAACTTGTCCTGCTTACTATCAACTTTGCTAAGTAGTTTTTTGTTCTGTCAGGAGACTCCTGACGATGACTAGAGCAGGCTTGTTCATTTAGAACTTACAGCAGGACTGTTCTTAACAGAACAAAAAACTACTTAGCAAAGTTGATAAGCAGGACAAGTTCTTCTCAGAACTAATACCTTCTAAGCAGTAGTTATTACCACATGGTGTTACCGCAAACCGAAACGATATCATGACTAAAACAAGAAAAAAAGTTAAAGGGGTGTTGAAGGTATTTGTTACTTTTACATAATGTGTATAATTTTAAAAATGAGGTCTTACAGCCTTGGTAATCTTCATATTTTACTTTGGCACTGGATTTGATATCATTTCGTAATGGACATGGGGAGAAAACGTAAAAGCCTTACCAGTTTTGGCAGTCGCCATCTTGGTTTTTGAACATGTTTTTTGTAGTTACCATTGTCGTCTCTTACCATGTAATTTCCCTAACCCTAACAGTCCTGAATCCTCCAAATTCAGTATGATTTTGCGCACCCCCTAGGGAGTTAGGGCTAATAAATCAAAGCCTTGCCCTCTTTCCACGAAATTAAACCTGCTGATGTTTGTTAACCCTAACCCTCCAGGGTATTTTGGCTAGAAACCCTGCCAAACGCAGCAACATGCAACACTTGTCTAAGTGACAAGCCTGCCCAGTGCAGCAAGATCCATCAGGTCAAAAGTCTCAAGGCCAAACTGCCTCAGAGTCTGTGGTCCCCCAACGCAGCAGGATACAACTCGGGCATTGTTCCATGGGACTAGCTCTCAGTGTCTCAGAAGTGGCCGGTTTCTGCACTGGTGTTGGTAGCATTTTCCATCAAAGTGCACCAGACTTTTCCACCTGATGCACTGTGCTGCGTCTGGCAGGGTTAGGGGTTTAAGGTGTCATTACCAGGTGTTCACGTGTCAAGAAATATCAGAATGTCACTTTTGAGTGTCATTTAGTCAGCCATTTTGGCAAGTCTTGTAACTTTAATACATAGGAACGGGGTCCTGAAAGTAACGATTACCACGTTGAAGGCAGGGCTGGGGAGGAAAGCATATTTTTACTCCATTGATTTGCATCCTGACAATAATTTGGCTCAAGCAGGTCAGGTTTATTTGCGAGAGCAAAACGATGGCCCTTTTTCTGATGGTTGCAGATGCCTAAGATCGTGGGGGGGGGGGGGGGGGGGAAATAGTGCACAGGACAAGAATGATGATACCGATGCAATCACTAAACCACATGATCGCTTCAGTACCAGCAATCTGGTCCCAGGTGGACGGTTACATGTACATGTACGTCATCGAGACTCCCCAGACTACAGGCCTAGGCACGAATAGTCAGGTGGCTTATACATGTAAACCCTAATTTTTATTTTCTTGAAAAGTGTATTTTGGAGATTCTAACACATATCCTTACTTCAGTAACATTTTGTAAAGCATAAGTGACTGAATAATTATGAGTAAATAGTAACTATCCAAATGGCTAATATTATGGATAATATTATAGTTGCGCGCATAATTTGTCTCCAGATATCATCAAGTAGTGTTGCCAAACCTCAGCATTGATGAACTTCAAATTCACCAAATTGCTTTCTCAAGTTACTGGTTTAGTTACCCTATTAAAACCTTACATGGATATGCAAGATCATGTGAACAATGACAACATTGTGATATTTAGCCCAGAAAAAAAAAAATGGGGACATAACAAGGCGTCTGTAAATTGGGATAACAAGTAGGTGAAGGGTTGCCTAATGTGGGAGACTTGAACAACTTCAAGGAAATTCCCAAAATTATTGGTAAGAAACGTTTTTGACGAAGACATTTGTAAACAACAATAATCTCTTATTTTGGGGGTATTTCCTTGAACTTGTTCAAGCCCCCACGTTACCCCTTCACCTAGTAGTAGCCCAACTTACTGACACCTCATTTTCTCCACTTTTTTGTCTTTTGGGCTAAATATCAAGATGTTAAGCCATGCGGCATACGCGTTGACAGCGTACGTACGCAGTCAATGTCCCCGAGATGCTCTCTGATTTTTTTGCTATTTGCGATAAGGCTCATGGCCAGATATGGGAATCTTTCCAAATTCTTTCCATTCTTTCCCCTTGAAGTACCATGAAATGCCCCTTGAAGTCCTACCATGAAATGGGCTTTGGTAAGATTTAGGCATATTCGTTGCTTGGCATGTGCGCTTACTAGGACGATCATGAAGTGTAGTGCCCCTGTTTTGTTTTGATCAAATTAGAGTCAAAAATGTTTTGTATTGCTCAAAAATCACCTTTACCAACAAAAGCAGACTTTTCTCAATTCTAATGACACCCATTTTGCAATTTTGAACAGATTCTTGGGGTAGAAATCACGATTTTCCTGTGCGGTTTGTGCCTTGCGATTCAGCGTGCCGTGCGTCCTCCAGCTCCAGCGTGCCGTGCGGTTGTGCCATCTTTTAATATTTTCCGGTTGCATGTTGTCGCCGTGCTGTCATCGTCATTTTATTTTTACCCCAGAATTTCCCTCAAAAAATCAAAACCCTCATTGAGAATGTCGAAAACTACTTTGGTCGGTCTTAGCTGGAGTTACCAAGCCCTAAATTTTATCATTGGGTTGTCATTTAGGACTGGAGGAAGCTTTTCACGCAAACCAGCAGAGTTGGCAGGTCCCAAAAACGTGACGTCTTGCGCCATCAGCCAGCGCAGCCGGCAAGAACGAACTGGTAACGTGCTGTGCACAAATCCAATTGCGGTCCTCGCCATGACCGCACGGATGTCAGTTTATGCCTTGTTTTTTCACTGCCATTTGTAGGCTGAATCTTCATCGTGGATCGTTTTTTACTTCAAGGACCTGTGTAATGGTTATTCCAGGCAAGGTTTGGGTGAGTTCCAGTTGAAATTAGTGTGTAACAGGGAAAAAATTGCACATTTTCAAAATTTCGAATTTTTTTTTTTGACCTGCCAACTCTGCTGGTTCGCGTGAAAAGCTTCCTCCACTGCTCCAGCCCTAAACATGCTAAATGACAACCCAATGATAAAATTTAGGGCTGGGTAACTCCAGCTAGGTCGGTCTAATAATTTAAAAGTGGATTTTATTCCCGAAAGTTAAAGGAGCCGGGCCCTTCACTACACGATTGCCCTTGCGAGGATATTTGACATGTCGGAATTACACGGATTATGTAAATAATAACAAGCATTGCCATGCAGTCAACAACCAGACAACATGGTCAATGGGAAATTCAAGTAAAAATGGGGCAAAATACGACAAACAAATCATCTTCTTACGGTTTAAATCGGACTTGAACTCCTCTTACCTTTTTCCTTCCCATTCTCAATGTATTAACTCCTGGCTTAACGATAAACAATCAAATAATAAGTCGATTCTTTGGGGTTTTTTTAGGACGAAAACACTACGTATTTTTGGCCGGAAAGATGGGATGCGGCAGCGCGCAAAATACTGTACCAATAGCGCCCTCTAGCACTAGAAACAAATGTTATGTGCCATGTATGAGCGCTCGAGCCCACGCGCGCTGTGATTGATACGGCATCGTTAATTCGCTCGCTCCAAAATAATTTCCATTCTTTCCGAAAACTGTTTTCTGAGCATGTTCTAAAAAGGTTTTACCTTTTGAAATACTTCAATATCCGTGACTGAGCCGCCCCCAAAAAAATCTGAAACTGTACTCGTCTGAAACGAAGCCGAGGTTTTAAAAACGTCCCAATTGCTAGAGGGCGCTTTTCTTAAAAATACATGTTTCCCATCCCCACATCCCATATCCCCATGCATTAACTGTACGTCCATGCGATTGGTCGGTCGGTGTCAGGTCAACTCGCCCCCTGGCCGACTGGCCCCTTTATAATACCGACTCCCCTCCTGACCGACTCCCCCCCCCCCCCCCCGGCCGACTCGCCCCCCGACCGACTTGGCCCCCGACCGACTCGCCCCCTGGAAAATTAAGCACCTTACACATAGAGACACACTCTTGGGGGAAAAAATGGTCCAGTTAACTTATTCCTTATGATGGGACTTGCGGTTTGGCCGAAGTCAATATATAGCCGTGAAGCCTGCCAGTAATGCTGATCCTGCAAAGTGCCAAAGTTACCAATGGCATCCCTACATTTTCTCGTGCAAATAGGACCCATTTTTGGACCCTAATTTTATGAATTCTGCTCTTAGATAAGAGCTGAAAAGCTAGGGAGATGATCCTCGGCTATAGGCGCATAATTCCACCGATTTTTAAACTAGACGGTCTCGTTTTTTCCAAAAAAAAATGTGGGGTGGGGACACTTTTTCAGTGCAAATTAACGACTCACGTAGAAACCTTTGAAACCCTAATCAAAATTATTGCGCCCGCTGTCGGTTTTATTGCGTCACTTCTGATATATCTTCGGTCTAGCCCCCCCCCCCCCCCGCCACCACATCGAAAAATAATAGTAATTAATACTGTTTAAAAATGTGCTCGTTTATTCAGAAATCCATGAAGCATATTCAAACTGATTGGATGTTTCCAAAGTGTCTTTCCCATTTGCAAAAGTTCTTTTTAAAAGCCCATGGGGGCATGCAAATAGTGATTTGGCCGGCGGATGCAAATTCGGGTCTTTTTTTGGACAATTTTAAAAGGTAGAACCTAGGAGCCTAGGAGATTTGTTTTATTTCCGTTTAAGAGTAAGCATTTCCCTTACAAAAACACCTAATTATTTTATATTCCCTGACGTGCCTTTATGTGCGCACCCCGCCCCCAATCACCCATAAATAAAAAAAAAACGTCATTTCAGCTGGGTTTTGTTACTTTTGTAGTAGCTTGTCCTCCGCCGCCAACAACTAAAACAAAAATAGGCAAAACACTGACAACCTTCCAATGATATCAAGTGTCTCACATCTTTCAAGTTTGATTTATTTTGTATAATTCCTTAGTCTTATTGACATACAAATATTTAAACCAATTCATACAAACAAATACAAAAGATTCCAAATGAGGGAAAAAAGTTGGGCAGAAGGCCAATAAATTTGAGAAATTAATAATCACTTTATAATATCATAGATGATTATTACATAAGCAACTACTACATGACTCTACACGGTAAAGCCAGGTTTTTGTATTTCGCCATTTTGTGAATAAGATTTTTAAAAGGGAAGATAAAACTTGGGAATGCCCCCCCCCAAAAAAAAAAACAAAAAAAAATTCCTAGATTATTTTGAAACAATTCAGGACTATATTTTGTCTAATTAGCTATGGTGAAAAAAATATTTGATGCGAGGCAAGTTCAACACTCGATATATATTGCGTTTATCCTTTTGTGAGGTTAGTTAATTATTATTAAGAAAAGAAAAAGACATGCAAAACCACCACGAAAAACAATTGTGCAAACGAAGTAAAAATATATCAAGTAAAAAATGTGCAATGACATAAATCACAAAAGGACAAACACAAATGTAATTTGAGTGTCACTCATACCTGTTGCAATGCATTTTGATGGATAGAAGTTCCTGAACAGTTTATTCTTTAAATTTTCCTAAAAATTAAACGTGTTTGTGTTTTCTAATGAATATACAATGGAAAGAAAGTCACGTTTTAGTTAAACCCACGTCTTGTTAAAGCCGTTAAATTTAAATAAAGTTTGTTACATTTCTTCAGTTTTTAAACAATAAATGAATCCTTTTTGAAATATTTCAAAACTCCTCTGACTTAAATTGGTTTTCTTAAAAATGCACTTGCAATATCAAATTAAATTTATAGAGCACAATTCTCCATTGTCAACTGAACAAAAAGCAATAGAAAGCCTTAGGTGAGACTTCGTTTATAATTTACCGGGAAGATCCTATTGAATGCATTAAAGGTAAGGAGTATGAAATTATTAACTTATTGATGCAATAATTTTGGATGACCCAGGACAGATCAAAGGAACATCCCTTCTCCCAGACATGTCACTGCTAAAAAGCCAGTGACAAATATTACCCTTACAATAATTTTTCAGCAAGTTTCCATTATTGTCCATTGTTAACTGTCTGTTGCAGTATCCGGTTTAAGATTATTTTAGAGGCATAAATAATTTAATGAAATCAAAATTACTTTTCATTTTATTTTAGTGTTGTTGCTTTAGTGTATAACATTAGTGACGTTGCATTATGCAGTCGATTTATCATTTCATATTGTGCAAGCTAGTTTTTTTTAAACTCAAGTTTCCGATGAGAGCATCCTTGTCAAGTAGAGCAGCTTCGTCATTGTCCAGTCTCGTCCAAGCTTGGTGGTCCTCATGTCCTAACCATGACAAAATAAGCAAGCAAATTAAAAAAAATACATATATTAGGAAATCAAGCACTGTGTATTTAGTAGGAGGGACAAACTACAATCAGAGGAATAACAAATTATAATCCTCATACCCTGGTCTTTTTTCGTTTTCAAAGTAAACTCACCTCAAGTATCAGAAATGGCCAGGCCAGCAAGCGGTGTCAGTCCATCGTCGGTCCTCCCAGCATACGATGGCTTGAGGCACGCTCATCCTCATCTCAGTAAGACAATTCCCTCATCAGTCAGTGGTCCTCATTTCTGTACAGGGTTTCAAATGACGAAAAAAAAAATATCTGAAATATTATTAAGAAATATGTGCAAGGAGAAAGAAAACTTCGATTTTTACCCCACAAAGCAACACAACGCTATACCAGCACTCGTTATGGAAGGACACAGAAAAGTGCCAATCACCAATTTTGAGTTCTGTGACTAAGAGGAAGCCTACATGTAAACTTACTTCAAGAATCAGTATTAAATTGGAAGCCAAGCAAGTAGGTCATCCGTTCATATGTCGGTCCTCCTCCCTGCTTCCGGTTCCTCGAGTTTCTGTGTGATGAGGCTGTTGGAGCCTTGGAGGGTTCATTTTCGTCCAGACAAAGCAGCCTAGCTCATCCATGCAGTCTCAACTTTTAGATCATCAATTTCTTTGATGAAAGCTGCAACTCTTTCCTAAGTGGACAGGGGTACGAAAACACTGGGCCTAGCCCATTTGTTACTGAAGTGAAACATTGCAAATGTAGCCAATAATTATGTCTAAGCCTACCTATAACCAGGTCATGGGTAGGACCCAATGGAAACCAAACGATTCTACCCATGTTTCCATTATTTCCTTTGTCATAATGTGCCGACGCTGATAATGGCAGGTTGCTTTGGAAACTGCATATAACTCGCACACTATAAACAACCATTAAAAGAAATTCACGTGACATTAAGATGACAAAATGCCATCTTAATCCTTGCCGATCCCTTCCAAATCGGACTTACATTGAACATAGTACTATACGAAGGGAGGGTTACACGTAGGCTAATATCAACAAGGAAATAGTAGTTTTCTATGTTACTCTAAACCTGTCGCATATCTTGAAATGCTTTCTTTTGAAATTTACGTTAACTAATTCAACGCTTTTTTTCCGTTATGGTTTTCGTGTTCTCCCCTTCAATAAAACAGCACTGTCGACCTTATACGTTATCAAAGGTCAAAGTAAGAGAACCAAATGAGTAACTCAAAGGAGAAATAATATACTTGGTGAATTAACATATATCCCTGCCGATCTTTCCAAATCGGACTCACATAAATGATGTAGATTAAGTTTAAACCTTTACAAAAACACGAAGAAATGTCGCATGCGATCTAAATATGTCGCATGTCTTATACAGCCATTTTCCCTATCGCTTTGTTTATTACACTTAAGTTGTACCCTTTCACAATGCATAACCTGGCTATTTCTGGCCTTTTTGAAGGCAAACTTCTTGCCAATGTCACAAATTGCAGTTATTTTCACTGACGAATAATACTTAAAAGATGTGGTGTAGGCCTAGAACTTGGGGAATGCCTTTAACATGCTGCTTTAATTGAAATTCAGTCATTTTCTTAACATCGATATAAAAGAGTTTTTCCTTAATTTCCGTCATTTTTTAAAACTTTTTTTTTGCCGTCATTTTCCCCACCGTTTACCAAAATTCGCTTTCCGACTTTTTTAAGCAGTGTAGTACCGTACCGGAAGTGGCTGCCGATTATAATTTGAAATTTGTTGTTTAACATTATTTCGGTCATTTTCCTTAGCAAATTTGTGCATGGCATAGAGCCTAGAAGTTTAGAAAATTACCGATTTTCAAATATTTATTTCTTTCGAAGCCGCTGTTAATCGTTTTACCGTAATTTTCGTTTCTTTAATTTCGTTCTTCCGCAATCCAATCTTTTTTACTTTGTAGGTAAGAAAAATAACACTGATATCAAGTATTATTCCTCTCACTAACGCTGTGATTTTTTAGCCGTGTAAACTATGTTTCGTCACTTCACTTATATGCCGCTTTGATTTTCGGTGTAATTTTCGTAATTTTCCTGTAGCTACCTGTAGAAACAGAGTGCCGTGCTTCGAGAAGAAACTCCACGTACTAAGTGATTTTCGTTGTAATTTAATTTGGACCGATTTTATTTTTGTTTCCACGTTTTGTCACACGCGTTTAGTCAAATATTTCCTGTAGGTATCGCAGTAAAGGTAAAAACAACACTGATTTCAGTTATTTTCAGCGTAAGTTTCATCATTTTCTCAGCCACTTGTTGGAAGCGGAGAAGCTTTCTGTAAGAAGAAAATCCGCTCACGATTTGATTTTCACTGCAATGTATTTTACACACATTTGAATTTTTTTCTTCAATTTTCGTCATATTCGCAAATATTTCAGGTATAGGTATCTCAGTAAAGTTAACAAGTAACAGTGATTTAAGCTATTATTTCTTCCAATTATAGCGGTAACTTTGGCGTAAGAATTCGTATTTTCGTCGTTTTTATGTTTTATAATATTGCAAAATAATATGCAGTCTGATTTTTGATCCAATATTCCGCAAATTGGAAAGTGTCTGATGAGGGCATCCTTGTCCAGATAGAGCAGCTTCGTAATAGAGCAGCTTCGTAATTTTCCAGTTTCATCCAAGCTTGGCGGTCCTCATCTTCTAAAACATGACAAAAAGAGTAAACTAGCAACGTTTAGAATTAATATTTAAAGAGGAAATCAAGCATCGTAAGAGGTGACATAGTATTAAAGGAATAACAAATTTAAGTGTAGGCCTACATTATGCCTGGTATCTTTTTAAGTAAACATACCTCATGAATCGGTAATGGCCAACCAAGCAGGCAGAGTCAGTCAACCGTCGGTCCTCCCAGCTTATGGCAGCTTGAGGCAGGCTCATCCAACATAGGGCAATTCCCTCACCGGTCAGTGGTCCTCATGTCTGTAAAAAGATTCAAATGACGAAAGAAAGTATCCGAATTATTATTAAGAAATATCTGAAAGGTAGAGCAAGAAGGGGGGGGGGGGGAGAAATGTTCGAATTAACCCCACAAAGCAGTGCCCCACTACCAGCACTCTTTATTTGTGGGAGAACATAGAAGAGCGCCAGATCACCCATTTTGATTACTTGTTTCTGCTCATTCTTTAGGTACATGTAACTAAAAACTAACCTCAAGAATTACTAATGGGAAGCCCAGCAAGCAGGTCATCCGTTCATCTGCCGGCCCTCCTCCCTGCTTCCGGTTCCTCGGGTTTCTGTTTGATGAGGCTGTCGGAGCCCTGACGATGTCTTGAGGCAGGCTCATCCTCATCTCAGTAGAGCAATTCCCTCATCACTCAGTGGTCCTCACTTTGCTGAAAGGATTCAAATAACGAAAGGAAACATTTGAATTATTGAGCTGAATTCGTGCCAGGGCTCGAAAGGGGAAAGAAAACATTGAATTAACCCCACAAAGCAAAGCCCTGCTATATGTCCAGAACTCGTTTGTGGACGAACATAATAACAGAGTCAGATCGCCCATTTAAATTAGTTTTGTGACTTGATTGTTCCTGTTCAGAGGAGGCCTACATGTAAACTAACCTAATAATCAGGAATGGGTAGCCCAGCAAGCAGGTCATCCGTTCATCTGTCGGTCCTCCTCCCTGCTTCCGGTTCCTCGGGCTTCTGTTTGATGAGGCTGTCGGAGCCCTGACGATGTCTTGAGGCAGGCTCATCCTCATCTCAGTAGAGCGATTCCCTCATCAGTCAGTGGTCCTCACTTTGCTGAAAGGATTCAAAAACGAAAGGAAACATTTTAATTATTGAGCTGTATTCGTGCCAGAACTCGAAAGGGGAAAGAAAACATTGAATAACCCGACAAAGCAAAGCCCCTCTACCAGAACTCGTTGTTTGTGGACGAACATAGAAGAGCGCCAGATCGCCCATTTTGATTAGTTCTTGATTGTTTCTGTTTAAGTAGGCTACATGTACACAAACCTGATAGCCAGTAATGGGAAGTCCAGCAAGCAGGTCATCCGTTCATCTGTCGGTCCTCCTCCCTGCTTCCGGTTCCTCGAGTTTAATGCTGATGGAGCACTGACGATGTCTTGAGGCAGGCACATCAATCTCAGTAAAGCAAGTCCCTCATCAGCCAGTGGTCCTCATTTTTCTGAAAGGATACGAAAGAAAAGATTTGAATTATTGAGCTGTATTCGTGCCAGGGCTAGAAATGGGAAAGAAAACATTGAATTAACCCCACAAAGCAAAGCCCGCTACCAAGAACTCGTTCTTTGTGGAAGAACATTATAACAGAGTCAGATCGCCCATTTTGATGAGTTCTGTGACTTGATTGATCCTGCGAAGAGGAGGCCAACATGTAAACTAACCTCAAGAATCAGCAATGGGTAGCCCAGCAAGCAAGTCATCCGTTCATCTGTCGGTCCTCCTCCCTGCTTCCGGTTCCTCGAGTTTCTGTGTGATGAGGCTGTTGGAGCCTTGGAGGGTTCATTTTCGTTCAGACAAAGCAGCCTAGCTCATCCATGCAGTCTCAACTTTGAGATCATCAGTTTCTTTGATGAAAGCTGCAACTCTTTCCTAAGTGAACAGGGTTACAAAAACACTGGGCCTAGCCCATTTGTTACTGAAGTGAAACATTCCAAAGCATTATGTCTAAGCCTACCTGGAATAAGGCCACTTGTGACAAAATAGAAACTGAACGATTCTACCCATGTTTCCACTATTTACTTTTAAAAACACACATGATCTTTTTTGTCATAATGCACACGAAATGCCGACGCCGATAATGGCAGGTTGCCAATACGTTGTACCCTTTCACAATGTACTTTATTTGTTGGGGGGGGGGGGGGGAATTAGGTCTTTTTGAAGGCACTTCTCGACAATGCCAACCATTTTGATGTGTTTGAAATGCCGCTGTATATAACTGAAATTCAGTCATTTTCGAAACAGATATTTTATTCATTATGGTGTTTTTTATTCTCGTAATTTCGTCAATTTCATTTTCTTTTGCTGTCGTCATTTTCCCACCGTTTGCTAAAATTCGCTTTCCGACTTTTTGAGGCAATGTAGAACAGGTATTTCATACTTGTTTTAAATCTTAATTTCGGGTTTTTTTTCTGTGGCCAAATTTGCACGTACATGTTCATGTATTTACTTCTCTCGTTTCGGATGATTAATTTTTATGCCGTTATTTTCGTCATTTTGATTTGTTATTTCCATTTATGGAACCCATTTTGTTTACTTTGTGGCAAGAAAAATAATACTGATTTCGGGTATTTTTACTCTTACTAACGCTATTATGTTTTCCTCGCGTTATTTTCATCATTTTCCTAGCGTGTAGGCCTACACGTAGAAAGCGGAGTGATTTTTTTTTTTTTAGGAAAAAAAAATCGCTTACGATGTGATTTCGCTACAATTTATTTTGGACCGATTTGAATTTTGTTTTCAGTTTTCGTCATACGCGTAGTCAAGTAAATATCCGGGTAGGTATTTCAGTAAAGGTAAAAAATAACACCGATTTCAGGTATTATTTATTCCAATACTGCCTAACATTTTAAAGTTGATTTCGTATTTTCGTCAATTTGAGGCTTGCCGCTTTAAAACCGTAACTTTTTTTGCCCGCCGTATTGGAGTTGAGAAAAAAAAATAACACTGATTTCAAGTATTATTCCTTTCAACATCTGCTTCGATTTTGCTTAACGATTTGACATTTTCGTAGCCGCAACGATTAATTTGATTTAAATATTTAATTTTGTCTATTGTCAGAGACAACAGACGGATACAATTAAAAAAAAAAACACCACACAGAGAGCAATGCACACAAAGGCAAAAAAATCAAACATGCAACATTTACAATGAAACAAAATACAATCTACTTTTGAGTTTTTTCCCCCAAAAGTCATTCTTTCTGTAAGCATTTTTTTACTCACAGATAAGTTTATCTTTAAATACTTAATAATGAACCGAGCTTAAAAGCTCTTCACAAAATAAAAATGTCTTTTCAATAAATTTATGCAAAGTATAATTAACCAAATTTATGACTTTTGATTTTTCTACGATCATTAAAATATTGTCAACTGTCATGTGCCCTCACTGCTCACAGACTAGCGAAGTATAGATAATGCGGCGCTTTTTCAGACGCTGTTAATCCCAGATGTTTTTACCTTTTAGTGTTACTATACGAGCGTATATGTCACCTTAACAGAGAGCTCATTTAGGAATTAGTGTTATTTATTAACCAACAGTTTTCTCTGTATGGCTATTTAAATAGTAACGTCCTTCCGTGTTTTTGTTAAATGGTTTAAGTTTTGATGTTCAAGTTCTTCTGAAGGAAGGGGCCTCTTGGAAATCGGCGCTAATATGCACCGAAGAGGGTATCCCTTACAAGTGACACTGCACCAGGCATGGTCACTGTCATTAGCCGATGGCCTAGATTTTATGAATCTTGTTTGTTCTTAAACATTTTATACAATTATAAAGAAATCATATCGTCGTTGGTGGACAACGCACCAGGCATTGCCACTTTCTGTAGTTGTTTTACTAACTTTGTTTAATTATTAAATCTTAAAATTAATGTGGCCTGACGTTGCGAACTTAGCAAGTTCTTCTTCAGAGGCTAAAACAGAAATGACAGAGGTACATACATTAACATGGGGGTGCACACAAACATGCAGGGCTGAAAGAAGAAACACAAAAGGAGGATTAGGTGTGAAAGGTGCGGAAAGATGCAGGGGAGGGTGGATGAGAGAACAAAGAAACAAAGGGAGAGGGCAAACCACAAGGGGTCTTGTGTAAACAGGGGAGGGACCAGAAAGGGGAAGGATCAAAGGTCACAGGGAGTGGGAGCGGACAAAAGAGTGTGAGAGTGAAGGGATGATGCGGGGGGGGGGGGGACAGTATGGAGGTGGAAAGGGATGAAAGATGGGGGAAGATGAGTAAACACAAACAAGGAAGACCAGGTGGATTATCCGTAACAGAAGACAATGGAGGAAGAGAAGGATTAGTCATTTCCAAGTTGGATGTTGAGACCATGTGGTTGAATAGTACGAAGACGATTCATCCACACTTTCTCTCTGCTGAGGCGAACTGAGTCCTTGCGATGGCCAAGAGATTCAATGCCCTGCAAAATCATATCAGAAATGGAGTGGTTAGGCAGGTTGAAGTGATGACCAACAGGGGTGTCTAGTTTCTTGGTGTTGACCGTTGACCGGTGGGCATAGAAACGCTTCTTGAGCGTATTCTTAGTCTCACCTACATACTGCACACCACAGACCCTGCAAGAAATGAGATATATGACATTAGAGGTGTTACAAGTGATGTTACCAATGGTTCTGTGGGTAGTGACAGAAGAGTAGCCAGAAAAGGAGTCAGACTCCTGGATATGAATCTGGCAGACAACACATCTGGAACTGCACTTGAAAGTACCATGCTGGGTGGGAGGGGATGCATCTAAGGAAGGGACTTCAGCTCGAACAATCAAGTCCCGTAGATTTCGAAGACGCCTGTAAGCCAATGTGGGGCCGTTGGGGATGGCGCGGGCAAGGCGATCTGAAGTATGGAGGATATGATGATTGTCATTAGTGATTTTGCGAAGGGGAGGGAGATTGGGGTGAAACGTGGTAACCAAGGGAATCATGGGTTTGGCCATGGCATCAGGGGCCTTTCCCGTGAGAGCTAGATTTCTGGGGATAGCTTTAGCTCTGGCAATGGCACGATGAACTTGGCGAGAGCTGTGACCCCTGGCCACCAAGTTGTTCCTCAGTATCTGTGTATGGCGGGAGAAATCGGAATCATTAGAACAAATTCTTCTGAGTCTGAGTGCCTGGCTAAACGCTATGCCAGTTTTGCAGTGCCTGGGGTGACAGCTGGAGGAGTGGAGGTACTGGTGGGTGTCTGTGGGTTTGGAATACAGGTCAGTGGTTAGTGAGTTGCCTTGCTTGCGGACGGTGACATCCAGAAAGTGGGTTTGGTGAGCCGAGAACTCCGATGTGAATTTGATGGTTCTGTGGAAGGAATTGATGTGGTTAGTGAAGGTCAAGAGACTGTCCTCATCACTGGTCCAGATGAAAAAAACATCATCAATATATCTCCACCAGATCCAAGGGCGACATGGGGCCGAGGCAAGAATGCGTTCTTCGAGGTCGCCCATGAAGAGGCAAGCCATCGACGGGGCCATGCGAGTGCCCATTGCAGTGCCGTGTACCTGTAGATAGTGTTCACCAAGGAAGGAAAATTGTTCTTCGTTAGTATAAGTCTCATGAGGGTGCCAACATCACTGATGGGAGGAGTCATTGTTTAATTATTGTTTTGAGTTGGGCAAAGTACCAGCCAATGTCCGTATAGAGGGCAGCATTCCAGTTGATGATCGATAAAACATCACAAAATGACTCTCGATCAATTACAAAATCGACTTTAAATTTGCGAGTGAAGTTTCTTAATAGCGAAAATAAAATAAAATACACCAGTACTTTCAAGTTTAGGGGGACAGTGTTGTTCATAAGACAGATTTTCGTTTGCATTAAGTTAGTGTTATTTGTATCCTTTTTTTTTATTATAGAAAACTACTAAAACTCCCCATCGCACTGCCTGCAGGCTCAATGTGCGCATGCTCGCAGCGGGCTATGCTTGTTCCTTAATTTTCCTTTGCTTCATTTTCCCTAACACTGTTCATTGCACTTTGCTAAACAGTTCCCTAGATTTTATCACTTCGAAGTACGGTACACGAATTCGCGCGATTACGCAGGTACGCGGATACGCGGATATGCGGATACGTGGGTACGAAGACCAAGAGGAGATGAACATTGTTCTTATTTAGGGCCTACTTATATACATATGACAATCACAAAGTACGTACGTGATACATTTAATTTATCACATACGTACGTGATAATACAATATTACGTAGTAACGCAATATTAGTATTATTATTGCGTACATACCTGATAAATAAATACGTATTACGTACGTACATGTATTGCATATGTAAGTGATAATACGTTTTTCCTTAAACGAGTATACGTTGTGTATACGTACTTAATAATTATCATGTGGGCCCTACGTACGTAATAATTATCACGTGGGCCCTACGTGATAATATTACCTACGTACGTGATAATATTTAAGTACGTGCGTGAGTTACGTACGTACGTGACAATAACACATACGTAATAGTATTATGAAAAAAAAAAAACTCCCATGTCCCTTCACGGTCTTCGTACCAAACCGTCTCCGGTCTAGCCACAAAAAAAAACCACGAGTTTGCCGAACATTACGTAAGAATATGCCTTATTGTCGAACGGAAAAGCGATAGAACGCGGTGCGGAGGTTTCTAAACGCGTATAAGAATATTTCGCCGAATTTAAATGCCTATAACATTATCCTAACACTCCTAAAGATCAAGCAGCTGCTTTGCTTTGCGGATGCTGCATAATGCACGCCTGCAGCGTCTGCACTCCTCCCAACTTGACCTACAAAAAACTAATTAATAATATTGTTTGCATCACTTGCACCAATGTTTTGCCTAGAATGTTGATTAGGTTTTATATTGTTTCAATTTATTTGTTAGTTTCTGAGACTGAGGTGGAGAACATCTTTTAACCTTCTCCAGAAAGGGAGTTACATAAGACCTGCAAGTCAATGTGACAATGAAGGAGACACTGTCACAGGTTTATCATTGAAAATACTGGTGTAAATTAGCGAGTTTAATTATTCAGGGACAAAAATTTGAAAAAAAAAAATACGTATCAAATTCCTATGCAAATTAACTCACGTGCGAACACAATGTCACTGCACGTGTCTGACGAATTCTTTCGAAATTGTATTTTTTCCCCACGTGCGAACACAAAGTCACTGACGAATTTCTATGCAAACTTGTTATACTCAACGTGCGAACGCAATGTCACTGCACGTATTTTATAAATTCCTATATGCAAATTAACACACGTGCGAACACAATGTCACTGCATGTGACAAACTCCTATTCGCATTGCATTATTATTGAATATAATAATAATGTTCGTTCAACCTTAATTCTGCTGTAATTTATCTTCCATAAATCTTCTAAACACGTTATTTGCATAATGTGCATTCAGCACAAGCCTGGGTTAGAAATGAGAATCGGATAGAATGCTAATGACGTACTCCCGATGGGCGATTACATTTTGGTCACGAGACTTACTTAGAGGGGTGGCACAGTTTCATACTGATCAACTTGAGTTGAAAACAATTGCCTGTTTCAATAAATTTGTGAAGGACGAAAACAAAATGTACTGCACCCACTTTTGGGGGTTGAATTTTTGGACTAGCTGACCGGTTACAGTCGCATCACCGGGGCACTTGCTCAATAAAAGGCATCTTCCGTTGGTGTATTAGCGTATCCTGGGTTTTTTTTTTTTTTTGGGGGGGGGGGGGGGCACATCAGTGCTGAACTTGATTTCGACATGTTTATTTCACCGGACACTTGGCCTCCGTAAAATCAAATGGGGGGGGGGGGGGGCTGGTACCAGTTTACAAAAATTGGAGCGCTCTTCGAAACCGGCCATTTTATTCTGGTTCTGTATCTGTGCATGCATAATCTCATCACAAGGATATCTTGGAAAAAAAATAATGACAGTGCGGGAACACATTGCCCGATCGTAGCATGAAACCCAATGGAGCCAAATTATTCAAACGCCACTTTTGAAGGATTTCCGGTACAAATGCAAGAAACTATTGATCTTTTATGAAGAATTTGGGTTGGAAACACATTAGCACAGCTGTACCGATATTCGTGGAAAGAGTGCCCGGGGCCTATCGCGCGTAGCAGCCGGTCTATTTCGCGGTCCTTTCATGGTGACTGCGGGCGCGCGGCATGTACCGCGTTCACCGTTTGTAAATCTCAACTTTAGGTCCTCAGTTTCATTAAAAAGTATTTTAGGAATTAAGGATGTATATTGTGAAAATAAAAAAAATAGTTATTTGTTTGGTGTTCTTAAAATGTTATAGGAGGAGCTGAGGCTCAACTTTGAGAATCAAAACCGAAACTCAGATAACGAAGATTATTTGAACGTGATTTACCCTCTTCTCTTGCGGAAAGGGATTGTTTTATTTTCATGATGTGTGACCTTTTTATTATTGGTTATTATTACCATTTATTATCATAATTATTGTTATTGTAAATCATTTCAAATGGCGTTTCAAAAATTTGGCTCCATTGAGATTCACGACACGACCAGGCATGCAATGTGTTCCAGGGGGCGAGTCGGCCAGGGGGCCGAGTCGGCGGGGGGGGGGGGGGGGGGGAGTCGGCCAGGGGGCGAGTTGACCTTCAATCGGTCGGTCATGCTGTGGTATATTATTTAGCAATGAAATAGGCCTTCGTGATCATCGCATTTTGTAACACGGCAACATTTGGGAATGCCAAGGTTTTTCTCTAATGTATGCATTCGGGTAGGTATTCATCCAAACCAGACATAACTAGGGCATTGTAACCGGGGAGAGTGGGATATATTAGTTTTAAAATCCTGCCGACTACGCCAAGTGTAACCGGGGAGAAATTGCTGACATTCCGGGCATTTCGGTTAATTTTCTTGTAAGGCTAGCTGCGAAATAACTTGGCTTTCGATCCAAGACCTTGTTGCGTTCAGACCATCAATTTTTGCGAGCTCTTACACTCTCCACTTTTATCTACAAATTTTGAGTGAGGCTCCCTGATACTTGTGATAGCAGTAAAATATTGTCATCTATTTTAACTGCTGATCTTCTATTTTGACATTGGACACGGAGAAGGCATGAACGTAGACCATCCCAAGTGATGCTATCCTTGGAGCAACTTCATTAGCCTATTTTCCCTTTTTGACTGTCGTTTTTGTATACACCCAACAAAGTTTCGGTTTTGTATACACCCAACAAAGTTTCGCTTGATATACCCAAAGTTCATATATATACTGTAATTCTTTTTGTAAATACCTAATAAATTGTATATATATATATATATATTGTCTCATATTTGTGCTGTAAATAAAACATTTGATATTATTGAGACAAACAGAAATTTCGCTCCACTCCATTACAAAGCGCGGTGGAATGCCAAACTCGCCTGCTCGCTACGCCCATTGCATACTGTTGAGCAAAATTCTAGGCGGCGCGCGCTGTGCAAAAAAAAGTTTAGTTGGCCGCGAGAGGGCGCTAGGCAAAAAGCATGATCGCGATGGCTGCTCACATGTGAAATGACACAAACACGAAGTTACAAAAATTATGAAATGAATGCTGGAGCACGGAACCAGTCGGGTAAAAGTAAGTACTGAAACCCGACCTGGTTACACCATGATATCTGGCCATCACTTGTCACCCTGTGCACAATGAGACTGATCTGAAAATTTCTCAGTTCAGTTTGTAATGCCTAGGCATTGCTAGGCCTAGCCCTGTCATGCCTGTGGCCGCGGTATGCTGCGCTGAACCTCTGCAGAGGTTCAGCGCAGCATACCGCGGCCACACTAGTGGGGCTTTAATATGCCTAGCGCCCTAGGCCTCAAACAAAGTTCAATATTTTCCCTGCTTAATTTGACTTTTTAGGACATAGGCCTTATTAGCACTTTTTGATGGCTGATAGGACATTGAAGGGAAACATTAGTAATGGCCAGATATGGAATCCATCTTTCCGAAGTAATAACATACATGTAACAACAGTTTATTCTTCCGAAGTGGCTATCGTTACGGCAGCCGTTGTTTAGCGCCCTCTACGAGACTTTTTTGATACGCACACAGGAATATAATTATTTGTTTCCCCACGTTTTAGCGAGCAGTGTGACAGCTCAGTCGATAGACATGATAGATGGTAGGATTTTGCTCCGCAAGGTTGCGGGTTCGCATCTCAGTTTTGCACTCGAATTTTTTTACTTTTTTAACCTGAGGCTTTGGAGGATTTTTTTTAAAAGGGAAATAAAGTCCGAATGTTATAACGTTCATATTCACTTTTTTCCATCTAATTTTATATTTTCTTCTCATGTTTTTATAAAAGTTGCAGTACTACCGTAACGATAGAAAATGGGAAATGCGTTACGGCTGCCGTAACGATCGATAGCCACTGCGTTACTCTTCAAAGCCAGAAAATTAAAAAAGCAATAAGCCTCTTAAGAGTAGGCCTACTACTGCGCATCCGCACATCGAGATTCAACAATCTACTTTTGTGGATAAACAGTTTGCCATACGCGTGCAAAATCTTGGTGGGGTAGGCCTACCAACAAAATCAAAGAAAAGATCTTGTTTTGAAGTAAATGCAAACTTTTGAGTTCTTTTAATGGCACTGTCGAGCGCAAAAGTTTCCATCTTTTTGATTCGATGAAAAATTGCAAAATGCGGATTTGGTTCAAGGGAAGATACATTTGCAAACATCAAAAAATGAAATGATCAAATTATCACGAAATACCTTACTGGATTGTTAAGGAATGACGTACAATCTGAAGCATCCTGTAAAATCGTGGGTCCTGGTGTGCTGACATTTTCAAGAAAAACTATTTTTCCAACGCTGGTCGGCCGACCAGCGTTGGAGAAAACTGCTCCTAATTTTTTATATTTAGTTATTCTGCATTTTCTTTACAGTTGATTACACACCTGTGAAGGGGTACAAGCCTGCTAGACCGATTCTCTGAACTTACAATTCCTCAAAGTCTATAAATTGATCGGTTTCATCTTAAGTGGAGTCAGGGAATCAGACTACAAGAACATGATTGGTTTTTTTGGTTTTTCCAGCATCTACAAGCCCAAAACGTGAAACAAGTCAGTTTAACAATATTTGCTATAACATACTAATCCTCCAAATCCATTTATTTCAGAAAATTGCAGCAAAAGCAAATGTTGTATATTCCCTTTAATTACCACATCCCCCATAGACTTGTGTGCATTTATCTGCTTTAACTCAATCGTTGAATCTGATGTGCGCATGCGCAGTAGTATAGTCTCCGAAGTGGCTTATTTGTTAAGGACTAATTAAACAACGTATTTTGAGATTTTCAGATATGAATCAGATGGCGGTTTTACAAAAATGTAATTACGCAGTGAACATAGTGAAACTGTCTAAGCCATTGTCACGGCTGGCAGTCAACCGTCTGGTTCCCTGACCTAGTAATAGTGGTATTCGTTATCTTTAGGAGCCCGTTCCTAAGGTTAGACTTGCCAAAACAGCTGACTATAAATGACACTCAAAAGTGACTTTCTGATATTTCTTGGCACATCTGAACAGCTGGTAGGCCTAATGACACCTCGTTGAATATCAGCAGGTTAATTTTGTAGAAAGAGGGCAGGGCTTTGATTTATGAGGGAAATTACGGGGTAAAAAACCGAAACCAGAAACACTTTTTTCCCCTTGTTAATACATGCATACCTTTGTTTCTTTTACAGATGTGCTTTTCTTTAAGGGCAGTAACAAGGCATTTGTGTAAGAAGTACCGCGCAACCTTGGGACTTTTATCAACGGACAAGTTGATGATCACACCTGCTATAATGAGCAGCTCATCACCTGGCAATTCAGGAGCTATAGAGGGCGCCGCAGTTATTCAACATCTTCACAGAGATGGGGACAACACAGTGGCCTACAGGTGTAAATAAATATACATAGACCCTGATGATGTTCACAGGAAGATATCCTATATACATGTATGTGCATGGCTTTCTGCACAATCGGAATAAAATAGATTGTGCGCACTTTGCGATATACGCACACAAACCAGTACGTGCATGCGGTGTGTTCCGTCCTCTTTGCTCTTGAAACTGTTACAAAAAAAAACACCCTCTCTGAAGAGAAGGCTTAAAGGAAAAATACAACATTTGCAAACATCGAAGAATAAAACTACTGAGTTTTTACGAAATACCTTACAAGGATGTTGGTAAATGACAGTCTTACGCATCCTGTAAAATTATGGCACCTGGTGTCAAGTCATTTTCAAGAAAATGATATTTTTGTATACATTTCCAACGGTGGTCGGCCGACCACCGTTGGAAAAACCTAACTATTTTTCAACTACTGCTCCTAATTTACAATTTGTGTCAGTCCAAATGTTGTTTGCTATTGGTTACATGTTTATGAACGGGTGCAGGCGAGCTAGACTGGTTCCCTTACCTTACAATTTTCCGACATCTATAAATTGATCCATTTTATCTGTAGTGGAGTTAGGAAACCAGACTACTTAAATATTTTTGTTTTTCTTGGTTTTTCCAGCATTTTCGAACACAAAACTTCAAACATGTCAGTGTAACAATATTTGATCTATTATACTAACCCCTCAAATAGTTCATTTCTGAATATTACAGCAAAAACCAATGATGTACATTCCCTTTAATGCATATATTACGTTTTCTTTTTCCTTGAAGGCAAACTGGAGGAAAGTCACCAGGAGTGATGTTTCTCCCTGGGTTCATGTCCAACATGAATGGAGGCAAGGCTTGTGAATTGGAGAAGTATTGTCGGCGGGCGGGATTGGCCTATGTCAGGTAGGCCTATATGATAAAGACTAAGGTCCCTGACCTGCGAGAGCAGGCCGGGTGGTGGTGCTGTCAACCCACAAAGTTGCACTTTTCATCTCAACATCCGTGTTGTGCATACACTGTACGCTTATCCTGACGAAGGATGCTCAGTGTGCACAAAAGACATAATTCATGCTAGTTTTAGTCCAAGACTGGTTTGGGATTTAATTCTCAGCTACCCAAGAAATTCTGAGCACATGTACGTACATTTGTACCTCGCGCATGCATGAGCTTGAAATTTCGAGAATAGATTCATACATTTGGCCAATGTGCATAAAAGGGAACTGAACTTGGGAAACAGATTCTTATATACCTGAACTTGGGTGATAGATATTTCTATTTAACTAATGTGCTCTTCAAGGGAAAATACAACATTTGCAAACATCAAAAAATAAAACTACCAAATCATTTTGAAATACCTTGCTGGACTGTTAGTGAATGACAGTGTAAAGCATCCTGTAAAATCATGGCACCTGGTATACTGTCATTTTCAAGAAAAGTGGTATTTTTGTATCTATTTTCAACGCTGGTCGGCCGACCAGCGTTGGAAAAAACTGGCTTTTTTTCAAATACTGGCCCCAATTGACCATCGCACTTGTTTGCAATCGATTACACACCTATGAACGGGTACAAGCCAGCTAGACTGGTTCCCTGACCTTACAATTCCCCAATGTATGTAAACTGCTCTGTTTCTTCTTATATGGAGTCAGGGAACCAGACGACAGGAAAATGATTGTTTTTCTTGGTTTTTATAGCATTTTTGAACCCAAAACCTAAAAAAAGTCAGTGTAACTATATTTGCCATATTTCCAACCCCCAATTCCATCCATTTCTGAAAATTACAGCAAAAGCAAATGATGTATATTCCCTTTAAAAGGCACTGAACTTAGGTAAAAGATTCTTCTGTACAACACCTGAATAAATCCCCGTCATGTCATTGAATTATTTGCCCCAACTCAAGGCCCGGCTGCATCGCAAAAAAAAAAAAGTTCTGTTCCACGGTAATCATGGTAATAGAAGCTCCATTACACGGTAACACTATTGATGGCTCTGACCAATCAGATGAAGAGAGTGTATTCAGGTGTTGTATCAAACAATAATGAATGTTTCACATTCACACAACGGTAAGAGTAATTTCATTCGGTGACAGATGCAATTTTTCATTCCACTCGGCCTCGCCTCGTGGAATGGAACATCATCTGTCACCTCATGAAATTACTCTTACCATTGCACTCATAAACAATCATTGTTTGTATACTACATGTGCATTTATTTGACCAATGTTCTTCTGAAGGGAACTGAATTGGGTAATAGATTCTTCTCTGTGACCAATGTGTGTACATTCCCAGGTTTGATTATCAAGGCTTGGGGGATTCACATGGGCATCTGCAGCCAGGGATTAAGGCCTTTGACGTATGGAAATCAGACGCACTTGCAGTTCTGGATCACTTGACAACGGGACCTCAGGTAAATAGGGCGTGCCTTGCCGGTCCACGTTCACTTTTTCTATGAACGTCTTGGTACCAAACACTGACTAGTCTAGTCACAGACTCCCGTGTTTGAATTTAAGCAAATATATGCACTTGTTATTCGCGTGATCAATTGAACGGAAGTTCAGGTCAACAATTTGAAGTTGAAAATAGTCATTGATTCATTACTGGAGCAAGCCCAGTCTAATGTGGCTTTCTTAGCTGTAGGTAGCTTTCCAGCACTTAACTGGCTCATCACTCGTCACTCAAATTCTGTTGGGAGGCAGGCTGGCTCTGGACAACAGACGCAGGTACATTGGGGATAGCCTGACTGTTTATCAAGGACAAATCACTGTTTTATTAGTATGTGCAAACATGAATATGAACCCGGGAATCCTGGGTTCGCGAAAGCCACATTAGACTGGGCTTGGTCCAGTAATGTCGCAACGTTTTCAATATGTTGTAAATTGTAATGCTTTCTTTTCTTTGAAATACCCATTGCCCTTGGTTTGATGGGTCCTGTCTGGACACATAAAACCCCCAAAACAGGATGTTAATTACGCGTGTACATGTAGTCAAGTCCATCACAAGTCCCTTTTACTCCCTGCAAGTCCATCACAAGTCCTCCAGTCCCAACTCAACTCACAAGTTATTCAAATGAGCTTTGACAAAGGCAATTCCTTTGTTATTTTTCAATCGTTGTTACTTGTGACTGGACTTGTGATGTGATTTACATGCGACATGATTTGTGATGGAATTGTGATGGACGCGACTACATGTGGGATGCTGCGGTAGTACACGTGAACCAGTCACCATGCTTGCACCAATTTATGAACACGAAGCGTACAGTGTACAGTACAACTTTCTTGTATCCATTTATGGAGTACATTATGCGTACAGGGAAAGGGGGTTTGAACCACTGCGTATGCCATACGTACATGAAGGGGGGGGGGGTTCTAAAAAGTCAGCATTCCGTGCGTACGTACTTAGGGACAGCCCTTAAGGAACATGAAATGGAATAATAAGTAAAGAGTATGAAATATAGGAGAAATGAAGCATAACAATAGATAAAATTAATCAACAAGTAATGTAATTAATTCAGTCTTAGACCCCGTTCCCACTTGATCCACCAATTGGGGGATCTGATCCACCTTTTGCCAAATTGCCGGATCAGATCCCCCAATTGGTGGATCAGATCCGGCAATTGTGTGTAGTGGGAACGCTAACCATTATAAGGTGGATCAGGATCAGATCCACCTTTTCTGATCCACCTCTCGACCAGGATACAGATCCCCCAATTGGTGGATCAGATCCGGCAATTGGCGGATCACGATCAGATGGGAACGCAAAAGGTGGATCTGATCCGGCAATTTGACCTGTTAACATCCGCCCGGTGTACGAGTGGCGCGAAAATGTTGCGGTCTCATGAACGAAGAAACACGTTTTCAGGCGTGTAGCTCATGTGAAAAGTTTCAGCGTATGCAACATGCACAATAAACAACCGCAATTTTTCCATCATGTCTCATGAACGAAGAAACACGTTTTCAGGCGTGTAGCTCATGTGAAAAGTTTCAGCGTATGCAACATGCACAATAAACAACCGCTGAACTACGGGCTAGCACCTCACACGCACCAGCACGTGGTATCCTAAAACAACACTAGGCCTTTTTTGTTGCGTCATGGTTGCGTGTTCGTCCATTTCTAAACCTTTTTCATTCGTGAAATTTTTCCATCCAAAAATGACTCTGAGTCCACACTCACCGAAACACTTCACTTTGGCACGGAATCATGGAAAAGCTTACGAGTATGCGATGAGAATATAGCCGATAATGCGGTACGTACGGCGGTGACAAATCTGTAGTATTGATTATAGAAAATTGGAAAATGATGTCGTAGTACACCATGTGACCATTTCTAACCAATGAGAAGCTTCAGAACCAGGGAATCCCTTATCGATGCATTGGTTCCTGCCGTGATGTCACACAATGAGCAGCGGTAGCTGTTCAATTTCACCAGTTAATGCACGCATGGATTCGGCACGGATCCTCTACGGATCTGTGATTTATGTTGGTCAATTTGCGTAATTTTCTTCGGTGAATTCTGATAGCGCTGTTTGAAAACTGACCCATCCTGGCCTACCATGCAACACTGGCACTCCCATCACAGAGTGCGCGCAATTCTGAACTCCGTGACCCTTCGGACTCGACATTTCCGTACGAAAAGGTGGTTCAAGCATAAGTGGGAACGCGTCTTGCGGTTTCGTTGCGGTTAGATAACGATCACACCAAAATGCTGGATTTTGATCCACCTTTTCCCAATTCGGAATGCGGTGTTAGTAAGGCTCTTAACTGATAATAATTTTAACATGCAGATGCTAGTGGGTTCCAGTATGGGTGGTGCCTAATTACTCCAAGCCTTAGAAAGGGATGTCCATCCTTCTGAACTTGAATTTATTGACAACATGCAGATCCTAGTGGGTTCCAGTATGGGTGGTGCCTATGATGTTATAACTCCTAGCCTTAGAAAGGCCCCATAGGATGTCCATCCTTCTGAACTTGGTTTTTATCCTCCATTCCATGGAGATCCTATTGACTTTTACTATGGGTGGTGTATTGATGTAACTCCTTGCCTTAGAAATGCCACACGTGATGTCCATCCTTCTGAACTGGTTTTGATTGACCGTTTGAGGCAGATCCTAGTGCAGAGCGTAGTGGGTTCCAGTATGGGTGGTGCCTAATTACTCCAAGCCTTAGAAAGGGATGTCCATCCTTCTGAACTTGAATTTATTGACACTTTCATGCAGTTCCTAGTGGGTTCCAGTAGGGGTGGTGCCTTGATGTTACTCCTAGCCTTAGAAAGGCCCATAGGATGTCCGTGCTTCTGAAGTTGGTTTCATTGACCATTTCATGCAGATTCTAGTGGGTTTAAGTATGGGTGGTGCCTTTGATGTAACTCCTACATGTAGCCTTAAAAAGTCCCCATAGGATGCCCATCCTTCTGAATTTGGGTTTTAATTAACCATTTCATGCAGATCCTAGTGGGTTCCAGTATGGGTGGTGTCTTGATGTTACTCCTAGCCTTAGAAAGGCCCATAGTATGTCCATCCTTCTGAACTTGGCTTTTATTGACCATTTTATGCAGATCCAAGAGGGTTCCAGTATGGGTGGTGCCTTAATGTTACTTCTAGCCTTGGAAAGGCCCCATATACCGGGGTACATGATATAGGATGTCCATCCTTCGGAACTGGTTTCCATTGACTATTTCATGCAGATCTAAGAGGGTTCCAGTATGGGTGATGCATTGATGTTACTCCTAGCCTTAGAAAGGCCCATAGGATGCCCATCCTTCTGAACTTGGTTTTCACTGATCATTCCATGCAGATCCTTGTGGGTTCCAGTATGGGTGGTGTCTTGATGTTACTCCTAGCCTTAGAAAGGCCCATAGTATGTCCATCCTTCTGAACTTGGCTTTTATTGACCATTTTATGCAGATCCAAGAGGGTTCCAGTATGGGTGGTGCCTTAATGTTACTCCTAGCCTTGGAAAGGCCCCATAGGATGTCCATCCTTCTGAACTGGTGTTCATTGACCATTTCATGCAGATCTAAGAGGGTTCCAGTATGGGTGGTGCCTTGATGTTACTCCTTGCCTTAGAATGGCCCATAGGATGTCCATCTTTCTGAACTTGGTTTTCACTGATCATTCTATGCAGATCCTTGTGGGTTCCAGTATGGGTGGTGCCTTGATGTTACTCCTTGCCTTAGAGAGGCCCCATAGGATAGCAGCACTGATTGGTGTCGCCACTGCAGTGAACTTCACACAGCCATTGAGCTATACCGAAGCAGGGAAATCAGAGGTAGGTATATATGTAGCCTTGGTCAAGGCGCTATTATTCATCCAGCTGTAGCGCGGTAAACGATATTTTCGCTAGTGCTATGCATGCAGTCATATGTCTATCCATACAGTGCATTAAAAATACAGCGCGAACAGCGACCTCACGCGGCCACTATTTTTATGCAAATCAGTTGGACCCAATCTATCGCCTTGGTTCAATCGTCCATGTGAGGTTTTGGGGGTGGTGCTCATTATGTTAATAGCCTTAGCTGACCTTAAATGTCGTTTTCTTATTGGTCGATCGTTGCGTGGAAACTTGCATAGTAAATCGTGCACCGTACATAATCCATACACGTACACGTTGTGTGTCTCTGCACACGGCACCGCAAAAGGCGAATAGCTGCTAATAATTTGATGACGTCCGGATTTACCAAGGTGTGATTGTACACTCCACATATTAGCCCGCCTACACTTATCTGTATTCGCATACGAGGTCATGCGCTAGAAATCCAGCGCAAAATAAAGAAAAACATAAGCTTTTGCTGACGATTGAACCAAGCCGCTAGATTTGGTCCAACTGATTTGCATAGAAATGGTGGCCGCGTGAGGTCGCTGTTCGCACTGTATTTTTAATGCATCGCATGCATAGCGCTAGCGAGGATATCGTTTACCGCGCTACGGCCGGGATGAATAACAACTAGTGCCAAGTTGACCAAGACTAGTATATATGGGATGTATCACAGCAGCATTCATTATAGTTTGCCCTGACCATACTTTCAAGCAGTCCATTTGCTTTGCTGCCTCATCACACGCATTCACTGATTACACTGCTGTACAGTTTTTGAATAATTTGGTTTTGTATAATTCTATCTTGGACTTGATCTAATTTAAAATACATTCTAGTTTTACATGCACCAGCCTAAACTTCACACCTATTTGCAGGAACCCGTGTGTGCATGAAGTGAGTCCTTCACATGTAGCTTTCATGAGTGATTAGATTTTAGACAACAGATGTAGATGGCACTACATGTATGTGACAAGGAATCTCATCAGTGTGTGAGACACTCCAAGTGCATGCGCTGGTTTACATAATATAGGGCGCGATATATACAAAATAATGAAATGTGCACAAGCCTGTAGCATCTTCACGTTGCTGCTAGATGTCATATTGGGATTCTTTTGCAAGTTTATCTGAAAGCAATGGTGTTTATACAGTACATCTGTCCAAATCTGTGTTTCAGTTGTTTTTGTTTGGTTATTTTCGCATGCAAACACCTGGAATGCCATTGCAATGCTGGAGAGCAAGCCCGTCCATACATGATTTTTTTACAAGGTTCATTCTTTTGTTTTCTTTTTTGGGCAAAACAGGGCTCATCCCACCCACCAGCAGAGGAATTGAAGTATGTGACACCACGCGATTTTGTAGACAAGAGCTATCAGCGATGCTTAATGAACGACCCCATAGAGATCAGCTGCCCAATCAGATTGCTCCACGGAATGAGGGACGACACCGTGCCACACCAGACATCGTTAGATGTCGCGCAGAGAGTAGCTAGCAAAGACGTGGAGGTGATATTGAGAAAAGACGGCGACCATCGCATGTCGCAAGAGAGGGACTTGCAGTTGCTGACGAGAACCCTGGAATCACTTGTTAAAAACATAGAGACTGATTGTTACAGTGGTGAAAGTAAACTTTAGTTTCCAGTGGGCACAATTGCAAGAATGGCTGTGAGGGTGCCAGGTTTAAAGGGAATGTACAACATTTGCTTTTGCTGCAATTTTCAGAAATAAATGGATTTGGAGGATTAGTATGTTATAGAAAATATTGTAAAACTGACTTAATTCACGTTTTGGACTTGTAGATGCTGGAAAAACCAAGAAAACCTGTCATATTCTTGTAGTCTGGTTCCCTGACCCCACTTTAGATGAAACGGAGCAATTAATACACTTTAGGGAATTGTAAGGTCAGAGAATAAGTCTAATAAGCAAGCTTGAACCCCTTCACAGGTGTGTAATCAATTGCAAAGAAAAGTCAGAATAACTAAATATGAAAAAAGTAGGGACAGTTTTTGAAAAAAGCCAGTTTTCTCCAACGCTGGTCGGCCGACCAGCGTTGGAAAAATACAGTTTTTCTTGAAAATGACAGCACACCAGGAGCCACGGTTTTAAAGGATACTTCCGGAGCTATCAGCCCCTTGATGCTACGGACCAATCACGTACAGCAGGGGTGGATCCAGGAATTTTCGCAGGTTGGGGGGGGGGGGGGTTTCATCAGCCCAAAAATCTGAAAATGTACACACGTTTTTTTCTCCGGACACTTGGCCTCCGTAAAATCAAAAACTGGAGGGGGGGGGGGGGGGGGGGCTGGTACCAATTTCAATAGGGGGCGCTGTTCAAATTCGACGATTATTAACACTCATGACAGAATGGTGTACCGTGTAACAGGCGGACATTAGACCAGTATAATGTTTTGGGGGGTGTCACAGCAGGACCCCCCCCCCCTCTCTGGATCCACGCCTGTACAGCTATTTTTAACGTTCAACACAAATCTGACAAGCGTGCGCTTGCTCATTGTGCTGCTACTGTGTAGTGTGTAGTGTGGTATTGGAGAAGTGTCCCTTCATGCCCATGCGTGTAGTTGGTTGGGCCTATTGGATCAGTCGTCGGAGGATGAATTATCAACTCGGGTGCATCAGATGCCAACGCAATTATTCATACGGGCAACAAGTAGAATGAATACAAAAACTGAAAAAAGGAAGTTAAAATTGTCGAATTTTCTGCAAACTGCACGTGACAAAACCAGGTTAGAAAAGTTGTTCAGTTATTAAAGGTTTCTTGTCTGATTGTGAAATATTCTTCTTTTTGTAACAGTCTTTCATCAATCGTTTGGAATGCTGACAAATACGTACACACAATTTATTTGTACATGGTTAATATATCAGAGTTTTTATTGTGTTATACTCAGAGAGAAACATAATATATTTTTCATAGTTAAAATAATTAAAATTGATGAAAAAAAAATGAAAGCATCCAATTGGAGTTATTGTTGTATTTTCATTAGTATTGTGATGTGGGTACAGAGAGGACCCTTGCTCTATGGCCCCATTAGGATTCCTAACTGGTCTCTTTTGCTAATAGACTTGAAGACTTGGTTTCAAGTCAGGTGCCGCACTTGTTTTGTACATCATCGCAAAGATTATTAAAAACTTAAGTGTAATAATGCGTGTTCTCGTCCCCTAGATTTTCCCAAGTGCCCCTCCTGCGGACATAAATGTGCCCCCTTGAGCATAAAATGTGCCGTCCCTCTCAAGATAAAAACAAAACTGGCTCTAAAATTTCGAATAATTTGTTTTCTTAAAATGGTATAGCCTGAGAGTTCTGATATGAGCGGGGAATATGAAAACCCGGACCCTAAAACCTCTACAATGGGCCTTGAAAATGGGCACATTATAAATTTCAACCGGAAAAACGTCAAACACAAAGCATGGGAATTTTCAAGTCAGAATTTCTGTCTCTTAACATAGATGACATCATCAGGGGCCCACTTTGTTGGGGAATGGATAGGTCGATACACAATTTGGTTGAGGACTGTACGTGTTTACCGTGACTGTTTATTCCACAATAATATTTTAATACACATTGATTGATTGAGCTGGTTACAGTGAACTGAGAAAGAGAACTGGGTGAACTGAAATAGACTAGAACAGAAATGGAACAGAATTGGAATTGAAACAGAATGAGATACTGCTAGTGGAGAAGCACTTATATACTGGTGGAAACAGGAAGTCTTGAGAGTAAGAAATACTTTAGAATGGGGAAACTTAGTCATATATGATATCGTGGTTTCCTCAGAAAAATGACTAGGAATGAGTAATGTAGTTCCTTAAAACAATGATCTTGAAAGTAACTTGGTTTAGTGACCAAAGACGTGTGTGGGCAGTGAAGGTCATTTGCTCTGTATAAAAGTAAAGGGACTACACATTGCATAGGTACTGTGTGGGTGTATGTGCATACCAGGAAAACACTGAGTAATGCATTCAGGAGAATTAATCATTAAAAAGTTCAAAAGGAACATTGATAATTAAAGTGTCATAATTAACTAAACTTCAGACGAATTGATAATTGAGATTTGATAATCTGAAAAAGCTACAACTTCATGTGAATATCTGCTCGGTCACCATGGCGTCTGCATATTACATCCCTACTGATGAGATTATGCATGCAGTATATTCCACCAGATACAGAACCAGAATAAAATGGCCGGTTTCGAAGAGCGCTCCAATTTTTGTAAATTTGGTACCAGCCCAGCCCCCCCCCCCAGCCCCCATTTGATTTTACGGAGGCCAAGTGTCCAGTGAAAAAAACATGTCGACCCGGTGATGCGACTGTAACCGGTCAGCTAGTCCAAAAATTCAACCCCCAAAAGTGGGTGCAGTACATTTTGTTTTCGTCCTTCACAAATTTATTTAAACAGGCAATTGTTTTCAACTCAAGTTGATCAGTATGAAACTGTGCCACCCCTCTAAGTAATTCTCGTGACCAAAATGTAATCGCCCATCGGGAGTACGTCATTAGCATTCTATCCGATTCTCATTTCTAACCCAGGCTTGTGCTGAATGCACATTATGCAAATAACGTGTTTAGAAGATTTCCACTCAGACTCCAGCCCTATTGTTACATACATGCCTCGCTGATCACCATGGTACAGCGACCTAGCGTGCACGGGCTTTATCTTAAGCTGTTGTTTTGGTGCTGGGCTAGGCCTTACTGTCGTTGTGCTCCTCACGCTCACTGCATGCAACTCATTACACTCTTCAAAATTATCATTTTGGCTGGTATAAAATTGTTTATTCTAATTGAACGTGCACATTGTGTCCAATTGATATTGTATTAACAAAGACATCGTTACCATTTACTCCAAGATCAACACCAAGAGGGGCAATGTCTTCAAGAGTAGAAAGAGGTATGTTATGTCTCTGATTAATGAACATGTGTATAAGGTTCTCCTACAAAATCCGAAGCAGTTTATAGATATAAAGTTTGAGGCTGCAGAAAAGAAGACACTGGCCGGCCAGGAATTGTTTTCTTCTGAGCGGATAGATTGCTTCATTTCAAGGCAGTAAAATGCTTTCATTTTTTTAGGAAGCTCTGGTAAAAGTAGAGAGTTTTGTCACCTGAAACAGAGAACTCCTTAAATTTCATTGGATGTTAAAAAAAACAGTTTACATGGAAGATAAATTACAGCAGAATTAAGGTTGAACGAACATTATTATTATATTCAATAATAATGCAATGCGAAAAGGAATTTGTCACGTGCAGTGACATTGTGTTCGCACGTGTGTTAATTTGCATATAGGAATTTATAAAATACGTGCAGTGACATTGCGTTCGCACGTTGAGTATAACAAGTTTGCATAGAAATTCGTCAGTGACTTTGTGTTCGCAAGTGGGGAAAAAAAATACAATTTCGAAAGAATTCGTCAGACACGTGCAGTGACATTGCGTTCGCACGTGGAACAGTTGAAGGGTAGCATTCCAGTGGAAGTTTTTTTTCTTCAAATTTTTGTCCCTGAATAATTAAACTCGCTAATTTACACCAGTATTTTCAATGATAAACCTGTGACAGTGTCTCCTTCATTGTCACATTGACTTGCAGTTCTTATATGTAACTCCCTTTATGGAGGAGGTTAAAAGACGTTCTCCACCTCAGTCTCAGAAACTAAATAATACATTGAAACAATATAAAACCTAATCAACATTCTGGGCAAAACATTGGTGCAAGTGATGCAAACAATATTATTAATTAGTTTTTTGTAGGTCAAGTTGGGAGGAGTGCAGACGCTGCAGGCGTGCATTATGCAGCATCCGCAAAGCAAAGCAGCTGCTGGATCTGTAGGAGTGTTAGGATAATGTTATATGCATTTAGATTCGGCGAAATATTCTTATACGCGTTTAGAAACCTCCGCACCGCGTTCTATCGCTTTTCCGTTCGACAATAATGCATATTCTTACGTAATGTTCGGCAAACTCGTGTTTTTTTGTGGCTAGACCGGAGACGGTTTGGTACGAAGACCGTGAAGGGACATGGGAGTTTTTTTTTTCATAATACTATTACGTATGTGTTATTGTCACGTACGTACGTAACTCACGCACGTACTTAAATATTATCACGTACGTAGGTAATATTATCACGTAGGGCCCACGTGATAATTATTACGTACGTAGGGCCCACGTGATAATGATTAAGTACGTATACACAACGTATACTCGTTTAAGGAAAAACGTATTATCACTTACATATGCAATACATGTACGTACGTAATACGTATTTATTTATCAGGTATGTACGCAATAATAATACTAATATTGCGTTACTACGTAATATTGTATTATCACGTACGTATGTGATTAATTAAATGTATCACGTACGTACTTTGTGATTGTCATATGTATATAAATAGGCCCTAAATAAGAACAATGTTCATCTCCTCTTGGTCTTCGTACCCACGTATCCGCCTATCCGCATATCCGCGTACCTGCGTAATCGCGCGATTTCGTGTACCATACTTCGAAGTGATAAAATCTAGGGAACTGTTTAGCAAAGTGCAATGAACAGTGTTAGGGAAAATGAAGCAAACGAAAATTAGGGAGCAAGCATAGCCCGCTGCGAGCATGCGCACATTGAGCCTGCAGGCAGTGCGATGGGGAGTTTTAGAAGTTTTCTATAAAAAAAAAGGATACAAATAACACTAACTTAATGCAAACGAAAATCTGTCTTATGAACAACACTGTCCCCCTAAACTTGAAAGTACTGGTGTATTTTATTTTATTTTCGCTATTAAGAAACTTCACTCGCAAATTTAAAGTCGATTTTGTAATTGATTGAGAGTCATTTTTTGATGTTTTATCGATCATCAACTGGAATGCTGCCCTCTTTACGGACATTGGCTGGTACTTTGCCCAACTCAAAACAATAATTAAACAAAGTTAGTAAAACAATTACAGAAAGTGGCAATGCCTGGTGCGTTGTTCACCAACGACGATATGATTTCTTTATGATTGTATAAAATGTTTAAGAGCAAACAAGATTTATAAAATCTAGGCCATCGGCTAATAACAGTGACCATGCCTTGTGCAGTGTCACTTGTAAGGGATACCCTCTTCGGTGCATATTAGCGCCGATTTCCAAGAGGCCCCTTCCTTCAGAAGAACTTGAACATCAAAACTTAAACCATTTCACAAAAACACGGAAGGACGTTACTACTTAAATAGCCATACAGAGAAAACTGTTTGTTAATAAATAACACTAATTCCTAAATGAGCTCTCTGTTAAGGTGACATATACGCTCGAATAGTAACACTAAAAGGTAAAAACATCTGGGATTAACAGCGTCTGAAAAAGCGCCGCATTGTCTATACTTCGCTAGTCTGTGAGCAGTGAGGGCACAGTTGACAGTTGACCATATTTTAATGATCGTAGAAAAATCAAAAGTCATAAATTATACTTTGCATAAATTTATTTAAAAGACATTTTTATTTTGTGAAGAGCTTTTAAGCTCGGTTCATTATTAAGTATTTAAAGATAAACTTATCTGTGAGTAAAAAAATGCTTACAGAAAGAATGACTTTTGGGGGAAAAAACTCAAAAGTAGATTGTATTTTGTTTCATTGTAAATGTTGCATGTTTGATTTTTTTGCCTTTGTGTGCATTGCTCTCTGTGTGGTGTGTGTTTTTTAATGGTATCCGTCTGTTGTCTCTGACAATAGACACAATTAAATGTTTTAAATCAAATTAATCGTTGCGGCTACGAAAATGTCAAATCGTTAAGCAAATTCGAAGCAGATGTTGAAAGGAATAATACTTGAAATCGGTGTTATTTTTTTTCTCAACTCCAATACGGCAAAAAAAGTTACGGTGTTAAAGCGGCAAGCCTCAAATTGACGAAAATACGAAATCAACTTTAAAATGTTAGGCAGTATTGGAATAAATAATACCTGAAATCGGTGTTATTTTTTACCTTTACTGAAATACCTACCCGGATATTTACTTGACTACGCGTATGACGAAAACTGAAAACAAAATTCAAATCGGTCCAAAATAAATTGTAGCGAAAATCACATCGTGAGCGATTTTCCTAAAAAAAAAAAAAATCACTCCGCTTTCTACGTGTAGGCCTACACGCTAGGAAAATGATGAAAATAACGCGAGGAAAACATCACAGCGTTAGTAAGAGTAAAAATACCCGAAATCAGTATTATTTTTCTTGCCACAAAGTAAACAAAATGGGTTATGGAAATAACAAATCAAAATGACGAAAATAACGGCATCAAAATTAATCATCCGAAACGAGAGAAGTGAATACATGTACATGTACGTGCAAATTTGGCCACAGAAAAAAAACCCGAAATTAAGATTTAAAACAAGTATGAAATACCGGTTCTACATTGCCTCAAAAAGTCGGAAAGCGAATTTAAGCAAACGGTGGGAAAATGACGGCAGCAAAAGAAAATGAAATTGACGAAATTATGAGAAAAAACACCATTATGAACAAAATATCTGTTTCGAAAATGACTGAATTTCAGTTATATACAGCGGCATTTCAAAAACATCAAAATTGTCGAGAAGTACCTTCAAAAAGACCTAATTCCCCCCCCCCCCCACACCAAATAAGGTACATTGTGAAAGGTTACAACTTATTGGCAGCCTGCCATTATCGGCGTCGGCACATGTTCGTGTGCATTATTACAAAAAAGATCATGTGTGTTTTTAAAAGTAAATCGTGGAACCATGGGTAGAATCGTTTAGTTTCTATTCGGTAACAAGTGGCCTTATTACAGGTAGGCTTAGACATAATGCTTTGGAATCATTCACTTCAGTAACAAACGGGCTAGGCCCAGTGTTTTCGTAACCCTCTTCACTTAGGAAAGAGTTGCAGCTTTCATTAAAGAAACTGATGATCTAAAGGTTGAGACTGCATGGATGAGCTAGGCTGCTTTGTCTGGACGAAAATCAACCCTCCAAGGCTCCAACAGCCTCATCACACAGAAACTCGAAGAACCGGAAGCAGGGAGGAGGACCGACAGATGAACGGATGACCTGCTTGCTGGGCTACCCATTACTGATTCTTGAGGTTAGTTTACATGTTGGCCTCCTCTTCGCAGGATCAATCAAGTCACAGAACTCATCAAAATGGGCGATCTGACTCTGTTATAATGTTTTTCCCTAAACAACGAGTTCTGGCAGCAGGGCTTTGCTTTGCGGCGTTAAGTTAATGTTTCCTTTCCCCTTTCTAGCCCTGGCACGAGTACAGCTCAATAATTCAAATGTTTTTTGTCGTATCCTTTCAGAAAAATAAGGACCACTGACTGATGAGGGAATTGCTTTACTGGGATTGATGAGCCTGCCTCAAGACATCGTCAGGGCCCCAACAGCCTCATCAAACAGAAACTCGAGGAACCGGAAGCAGGGAGGAGGACCGACAGATGAACGGATGACCTGCTTGCTGGGCTTCCCATTACTGATTCTTGAGGTTAGTTTACATGTTGGCCTCCTCTTCACAGGATCAATCAAGTCACAGAACTCATCAAAATGGGCGATCTGACTCTGTTATAATGTTCTTCCACAAACAACGAGTTCTGGTAGCGGGCTTTGCTTTGCGGGGTTAATTCAATGTTTTCTTTCCCCTTTCTAGCCCTGGCACGAATACAGCTTAATAATAGAAATGTTTTCTTTCGTATCCTTTCAGAAAAATAAGGACCACTGACTGATGAGGGAATTGCTTTACTGAGATTGATGAGCCTGCCTCAAGACTTCGTCGGGGATCCAACAGCCTTATGACACAGAAACTCGAGGAACCGGAAGCAGGGAGGAGGACCGACAGATGAACACATGACCTGCTTGCTGGGCTTCCCATTCCTGAATATTAGGTTAGTTTACATGTAGGCCTTCTCTTAACAGGAACAATCTAGTCACAGAACTAATTCAAATGGACGATCTGACTCTGTTATTTTGTTCGTCCACAAACAAGTTCTGGTAGCAGGGCTTTGCTTTGTGGGGTTAATTCAATGTTTTCTTTCCCCTTTCGAGCCCTGGCACGAATACAGCTCAATAATTTAAAGGGTTCCTTTCGTTATTTGAATCCTTTCAGCAATGTGAGGACCACTGACTGATGAGGGAATAGCTCTACTAATATGAGGATGAGCCTGCCTCAAGACATCGTCAGGGCTCCGACAGCGTTATCAAACAGAAACCCGAGGAACTGGAAGCAGGGAGGAGGACCGACAGATGAACGGATGACCCGCTTGCTGGACTACCCACTGATTCTTGAGGTTAGTTTACATGTTGGCCTCCTCTTCTCAGGATCAATCAAGTCACAGAACTTATCAAAATGGGCGATCTGACTCTGTTATAATGTTCTTCCCCAAACAACGAGTTCTGGTAGCGGGCTTTGCTTTGTGGGGTTAATTCAATGTTTTCTTTCCCCTTTCTAGCCCTGGCATGAATACAGCTCAATAATTCAAATGTTTTCTTCGTATCCTTTCAGAAAAATAAGGACCACAGACTGATGAAGGAATTACTTTACTGAGATTGATGAGCCCGCCTCAAGACATCGTCAAGGCTCCAATAGCCTTATCACACATAAACTCGAGGAACCGGAAGCAGGGAGGAGGACTGATAGATCAACGGATGACCTGCTTGCTGGGCTACCCATTCCTGATTATTAAGTTAGTTTACATGTAGGCCTTCTCTTAACAGGAACAATCTAGTCACAGAACTAATTTAAATGGACGATCTGACTCTGTTATTATGTTAGTCCACAAACGAGTTCTGGGAGCAGGGCTTTGCTTTGTGGGGTTAATTCAATGTTTTCTTTCCCCTTTCGAGCCCTGGCACGAATACAGCTCAATAATTCAAATATTTTCTGTCGTATCCTTTCAGAAAAATGAGGACCACTGACTGATGAGGGAATTTGCTATACTGAGATTGATGAGCCTGCCTCAAGACATCGTCAGGGCTCCAACAGCCTCATCAAACAGAAACCCGAGGAACCGGAAGCAGGGAGTAGGACCGACAGATGAACGGATGACCTGCTTGCTGGGCTTCCCATTCCTGATTATTAGGTTAGTTTACATGTAGGCCTTCTCTTAACAGGAACAATCTAGTAACAGAACTAATTTAAATGGACGATCTGACTCTGTTATTAGGTTCGTCCACAAACAAGTTCTGGTAGCAGGGCTTTGCTTTGTGGGGTTAATTCAATGTTTTCTTTCCCCTTTCGAGCCCTGGCCTAAATACAGCTCAATAATTCAAATGTTTCCTTTCGTTATTTGAATCCTTTCAGCAATGTGAGGACCACTGACTGATGAGGGAATTGCTCCACTGAGATGAGGATGAGCCTGCCTCAAGACATCGTCAGGGCTTAGACAGCTTCATCAAACAGAAACCCGAGGAACCGGAAGCAGGGAGGAGGACCGAGAGATGAACGGATGATCTGCTTGCTGGGTTCCCATTACTTAATCTTGAGGTTAGTTTACAGTTGGCCTCCTCTTCGCAGGATCTATCAAGTCACAGAACTCATCAAAATGGGCGATCTGACTCTGTTATAATGTTCGTCCACAAACGAGTTCTGGTAGCAGGGCTTTGCTTTGTGGGGTTAATTCAATGTTTTCTTTCCCCTTTCTAGTCCTGGCACGAATACAGCTCAATAATTCAAATGTTTTCTTTCGTATCCTTTCAGAAAAATAAGGACCACTGACTGATGAGGGAATTGCTCAACTGAGATGAGGATGAGCCTGCCTCAAGACATCGTCAGGGCTCCGACAGCCTCATCAAACAGAAACCCGAGGAACCGGAAGCAGGGAGGAGGACCGACATATGAATGGATGACCTGTTTGCTGGGCTACCCATTACTCATTCTTGAGGTTAGTTTACATGTTGGCCTTCTCTTCGCAGGATCAATCAAGTCACAGAACTCATCAAAATGGGCGATCTGACTCTGTTATAATGTTCTTCCTCAAACAACGAGTACTGGTAGCGGGCTTTGCTTGACGGGGTTAATTCAATGTTTTCTTTTCCTTTCTAGCCCTGGCACAAATACAGCTCAATAATTCAAATGTTTTCTTTCGTATCCTTTCACAAAAATAAGGACCACTGACTGATGAGGGAATTGCTTTACTGAGATTGATGAGCCTGCCTCTAGATATCGTCAGGGCTCCAACGGCCTTATCACACAGAAACTCTAGGAACCGGAAGCAGGGAGGAGGACCGACAGATGAACGGATGACCTGCTTGTTGGGCTACCCATTCCTGATTATTAGGTTAGTTTACATGTAGGCCTTCTCTTAACCATGTTAACAGGAACAATCTAGTCACAGAACTAATTTAAATGGACGATCTGACTCTGTTATAATGTTCTTCCTCAAACAACGAGTACTGGTAGCGGGCTTTGCTTTGAGGGGTTAATTCAATGTTTTCTTTCCCCTTTCTAGCCCTGGCACGAATACAGCTCAATAATTCAAAATTATATTTTCTTTCGTATCCTATCAGAAAAATAAGGACCGCTGACTGATGAGGGAACTGCTTTACTGAGATTGATGAGCCCGCCTCAAAACATCGTCAGGGCTCCAACAGCCATATCACACAGAAACTCAGGAACCGGAAGCAGGGAGAAGGACTGACAGATGAATGGATGACCTGCTTGCTGGGCTTCCCATTACTGACTATCAGGTTTGTGTACATGTAGCCTACTTAAACAGAAACAATCAAGAACTAATCAAAATGAGTGATCTGGCGCTCTTCTATGTTCGTCCACAAACAACGAGTTCTCGTAGCGGGCTTTTGCTTTGTGGGGTTAATTCCATGTTTTCTTTCCCCTTTCTAGCCCTGGCACGAATACAGCTCAATAATTCAAATATTTTCTTTGGTATCCTTTCAGAAAAATGAGGACCACTGACTGATGAGGGAATTGCTTTACTGAGATTGATGAGCCTGTCTCAAGACATCGTCAGGGCTCCAACAACCTCATCAAACAGAAACTCGAGGAACCGGAAGCAGGGAGGAGGACCGACAGATGAACGGATGACCTGCTTGCTGGGCTTCCCATTCCTGATTATTAGGTTAGTTTACATGTAGGCCTTCTCTTAACAGGAACAATCTAGTCACAGAACTAATTTAAATGGACGATCTGACTCTGTTATTATGTTCGTCCAAAAACAAGTTCTGGTAGCAGGGCTTTGCTTTGTGGGGTTAATTCAATGTTTTCTTTCCCCTTTCGAGCCCTGGCATGAATACATCTCAATAATTCAAATGTTTCCTTTCGTTATTTGAATCCTTTCAGCAATGTGAGGACCACTGACTGATGAGGGAGTTGCTCTACTGAGATGAGGATGAGCCTGCCTCAAGACATCGTCAGGGCTCCGACAGCCTCATCAAACAGAAACCCGAGGAACCGGAAGCAGGTAGGAAGACCGAAAGATGAACGGATGACCTGCTTGCTGGGCTACCCTTTACTGAATCTTGAGGTTAGTTTACAGTTGGCCTCCTCTTTGCAGGATCAATCAAGTCACAGAACTCATCAAAATGGACGATCTGATTCTGTTATAATGTTCTTCCACAAACAACGAGTTCTGGTAGCGGGCTTTGCTTTGCGGGGTTAATTCAATGTTTTCTTTCCCCTTTCTAGCCCTGGCACGAATACAGCTCAATAATTCAAAATTATATTTTCTTTCGTATCCTATCAGAAAAATAAGGACCGCTGACTGATAAGGGAACTGCTTTACTGAGATTGATGAGCCCGCCTCAAAACATCGGCAGGGCTCCAACAGCCTTATCTCACAGAAACTCGAGGAACCGGAAGCAGGGAGGAGGACCGACAGATGAACGGATGACCTGCTTGCTGGGCTTCCCATTACTGACTATCAGGTTTGTGTACACTTAGCCTACTTAAACAGAAACAATCAAGAACTAAACAAAATGGGTTATCTGGCGCTCTTCTATGTTCGTCCACAAACGAGTTCTGGTAGCAGGGCTTTGCTTTGTGGGGTTAATTCAATGTTTTCATTCCCCTTTCTAGCCCTGGCACGAATACAGCTCAATAATTCAAATGTTTCCTTTCGTATCCTATCAGAAAAATAAGGACCACTGACTGATGAGGGAATTGCTTTACTGAGATTGATGAGCCTGCCTCAAGACATCTTCAGGGCTCCAACAGCCTCATCCAACAGAAACTCGAGGAACAGGAAGCAGGGAGGAGGACCGACAGACGAACGGATGACCTGCTTGCTGGGCTTCCCATTCCTGATTATTAGGTTAGTTTACATGTAGGCCTTCTCTTAACAGAAACAATCTAGTCACAGAACTAATTTAAATGGACGATCTGACTCTGTTATTATGTTCGTCCACAAACGAGTTCTGGTAGCAGGGCTTTGCTTTGAGGGGTTAATTCAATGTTATCTTTCCCCTTTCGAGCCCTGGCACGAATACAGCTCAATAATTCAAATGTTTCCTTTCGTTATTTGAATCCTTTCAGCAATGTGAGGACCACTGACTGATGAGGGAATTGCTCTACTGAGATGAGGATGAGCCTGCCTCAAGACATCGTCAGGGCTCCGACAGCCTCATCAAACAGAAACCCGAGAAACCGGAAGCAGGTAGGAAGACCGACAGATGAACGGATGACCTGCTTGCTGGGCTTCCCATTACTGATTCTTGAGGTTAGTTTACATGTTGGCCTCCTCTTCACAGGATCAATCAAGTCACAACACTCATCAAAATGGGCGATCTGACTCTGTTATAATGTTCTTCCACAAACAACGAGTTCTGGTAGCGGGATTTGCTTTGCGGGGTTAATTCAATGTTTTCTTTCCCCTTTCGAGCCCTGGCACGAATACAGCTCAATAATTCAAATGTTTCCTTTCGTTTTTTGAATCCTTTCAGCAATGTGAGGACCACTGACTGATGAGGGAATTGCTCTACTGAGATGAGGATGAGCCTGCCTCAAGACATCGTCAGGGCTCCGACAGCCTCTTCAAACAGAAACCCGAGGAACCGGAAGCAGGTAGGAAGACCGACAGATGAACGGATGACCTGCTTGCTGGGCTTCCCATTCCTGATTATTAGGTTAGTTTACATGTAGGCCTTCTCTTAACAGGAACAATCTAGTCATAGAACTAATTTAAATGGACGATCTGACTCTGTTATTATGTTCGTCCACAAACGAATTCTGGTAGCAGGGCTTTGCTTTGTGGGGTTAATTCAATGTGTTCTTTCCCCTTTCGAGCCCTGGCACAAATACAGTTCAATAATTCAAATGTTTCCTTTCGTTATTTGAATCCTTTCAGCAATGTGAGGACCACTGACTGATGAGGGAATTGCTCTACTGAGATGAGGATGAGCCTGCCTCAAGACATCGTCAGGGCCCCAACAGCCTCATCAAACAGAAACTCGAGGAACCGGAAGCAGGGAGGAGGACAGACAGATGAACGGATGACCTGCTTGCTGGGCTTCCCATTACTGATTCTTGAGGTTAGTTTACATGTTGGCCTCCTCTTCGCAGGATCAATCAAGTCACAGAACTCATCAAAATGGGCGATCTGACTCTGTTATAATGTTCTTCCACAAACAACGAGTTCTGGTAGCGGGATTTGCTTTGCGGGGTTAATTCAATGTTTTCTTTCCCCTTTCGAGCCCTGGCACGAATACAGCTCAATAATTCAAATGTTTCCTTTCGTTTTTTGAATCCTTTCAGCAATGTGAGGACCACTGACTGATGAGGGAATTGCTCTACTGAGATAAGGATGAGCCTGCCTCAAGACATCGTCAGGGCTCCGACAGCCTCATCAAACAGAAACCTGAGAAACCGGAAGCAGGTAGGAAGACCGACAGATGAACGGATGACCTGCTGCTTGCTGGGCTTCCCATTCCTGATTATTAGGTTAGTTTACATGTATGCCTTCTCTTAACAGGAACAATCTAGTCACAGAACTAATTTAAATGGACGATCTGACTCTGTTATTATGTTCGTCCACAAATGAGTTCTGGTAGCAGGGCTTTGCTTTGAGGGGTTAATTCAATGTTTTCTTTCCCCTTCTAGCCCTGGCACGAATACAGCTCAATAATTCAAATGTTTCCTTTCGTTATTTGAATCCTTTCAGCAATGTGAGGACCACTGACTGATGAGGGAATTGCTCTTCTGAGATAAGGATGAGCCTGCCTCAAGACATCGTCAGGGCTCCGACAGCCTCATCAAACAGAAACCCGAGGAACCGGAAGCAGGTAGGAAGACCGACAGATGAACGGATGACCTGCTTGCTGGGCTTCCCATTACTAATTCTTGAGGTTATGGTTTTTAGTTACATGTACCTAAAGAATAAGCAGAAACAAGTAATCAGAATGGGTGATCTGGCGCTCTTCTATATGTTCTCCCAGAAATAAAGAGTGCTGGTAGTGGGGTACTGCTTTGTGGGGTTAATTCGAACATTTCTGTCCCCCCCCCCCCCTCTTGCTCTACCTATCAGATATTTGTTAATAATAATTTGGATATTTTCTTTCGTCATTTGAATCTTTTTACAGACATGAGGACCACTGACTGGTGAGGGAATTGCCCTATGATGGATGAGCCTGCTTCAAGCTGCCATTAGCTGGGAGGACCGACGGTTGACTGACTCTGCCTGCTTGGTTGGCCATTACCGATTTTTTAGGTATGTTTACTTGAAAAGAGACCAGGGATATGTAGGTCTACACTTAAATTTGTTATTCCTTTTACCTTTTACGTACGATGCTTGATTTCCTCTTTAAATTTTAATTCTAAATTTTGCTAGTTTATTCTTTTTGTCATGTTTTAGAAGATGAGGACCGCCAAGCTTAGATGAGACTGGAAAATTACGAAAGCTGCTCTATCTGGACAAGGATGCCCTCATCAGACACTTTCCAATTTGCGGAATATTGGATCAAAAATCAGACTGCATATTATTAGGCAATATTATAAAACATAAAAACGACGAAAATACGAATTCTTACGCCAAAGTTACCGCTAAACATATGTAATTGGAAGAAATAATAGCTCAAATCACTGTTACTTGTTAACTTTACTGAGATACCTATACCTGAAATATTTGACAACGAATATGACAAAAATTGAAGAAAAAAAGTCAAATGTGTGTAAAATACATTGCAGTGAAAATCAAATCATGAGTGGATTTTCTTCTCACAGAAATGATTCTCTGCTTCCAACAAGTGGCTGAGAAAATGATGAAATTTACGCCGAAAATAACTGAAATTGGTGTTGTTTTTACCTTTACTGCGATACCTACCCAAAATATTTGACTAAACGCGTGTGACGAAACGTGGAAAGAAAAATCAAATCTTCCAAATTAAATTACAACGAAAATCACATAGTACGTGGAGTTTCTTCTCGCAGCACTGCACTCTGTTTCTACAGGTAGCTACAGGAAAATTACGAAAATTATACCGAAAATCAACGAGGCATGTAAGTGAAGTGACGAAACATAGTTTACACGGCAAAAAATCACAGCGTTAGTGAGAGAAATAATACTTGATATCAATGTTATTTTTCTTACCTACAAAGTAAAAAAAAATCAATTGCGGAAGAACGAAATTAAAGAAACGAAAATTACGGTAAAAAGATTAACAAAGGCAGCAAAAGAAATAAATATTTAAAAATCGGTAATTTTCTAAACTTCTAGGCCCTATGCCATGCAAAAATTTGCTAAGGAAAAATGACCGAAATAATGTTAACAAAAAAATTCAAATTATATTCGGCAGCCACTTCCGGTACGGTACTACACTGCTTAAAAATGTCGGAAAGCGAATTTTGGTAAACGGTGGGGAAAATGACGGCAGAAAAAAAGGTAAAAAAATGACGGAAATTTAGAAAAAACTCCATTATATCGATGTAAAGAAAATGACTGAATTTCAATTAAAGCAGCATGTTAAAGGCATTCCCCCAAATTCTAGGCCTACACCACACCTTTTAAGTATTATTCGTCAGCGAAAATAACTGCGATTTGTGACATTGTCAAGAAGTTTGCCTTCAAAAAGGCCAGAAACAGCCAGGTTATGCATGTGAAAGGGTACAACTTAAGTGTAATCAACAAAGCGATAGGGAAAATGGCTGTATAAGACATGCGACATATATACTATCGCATGCGACATTTCTTCGTGTTTTTGTAAAGGTTTAAACTTAATCTACATTATTTATGTGAGTCCGATTTGGAAAGATCGGCAGGGATACACGTTTTCTTCAAGTTTATATTCCTCCTTTGAGTTACTCATTTGGTTGTCTTACTTTGACCTTTGATAACGTATAAGGCCGACAGTGCTGTTTTATTGAAGGGGAGAACACGAAAACCATAACGGAAAAAAGCGTTGCAGTAGTTAAAGAGATCGGTATAATATAGACTTATACGATCAAATCTTTGTGGGCTTCGAGTATACCGTACTTAACGTAAATTTCTAAAGAAAGCATTTCAAGATATGCGACAGGTTTAGAGTGTCATAGAAAACTACTATTTCCTTGTTGATTTTAGCCTACGTGTAACCCTCCTTCCGTATAGTACTATGTTCAATGTAAGTCCGATTTGGAAGGGATCGGCAAGGATTAAGATGGCATTTTGTCATCTTAATGTCACGTGAATTTCTTTTAATGGTTGTTTATAGTGTGCGAGTTATATGCAGTTTCCAAAGCAACCTGCCGTTATCAGCGTCGGCACATTATGACAAAGTAATCGTGTCTGTTTTAAAAAGGAAATAATGGAAACATGGGTAGAATCGTTTGGTTCCCATTGGGTCCTACCCATGACCTGGTTATAGGTAGGCTTAGACATAATTATTGGCTACATTTGCAATGTTTCACTTCAGTAACAAATGGGCTAGGCCCAGTGTTTTCGTACCCCTGTCCACTAAGGAAAGAGTTGCAGCTTTCATCAAAAAAACTGATGATCTAAAAGTTGAGACAGACTGGATGAGCTAGGCTGCTTTGTCTGGATGAAAATGAACCCTCCAAGGCTCCAACAGCCTCATCACACAGAAACTCGAGGAACCGGAAGCAGGAAGGAGGACCGACAGATGAACGGATGGCCTGCTTGCTGGGCTTCCCATTACTGATTCTTGAAGTTAGTTTACATGTAGGCCTAGGCTTCCTCTTAGTCACATAACTCAAAATTGATGATTGGCGCTTTTCTGTGTTCTTCCACAACGAGTGCTGGTATAGCGTTGTGTTGCTTTGTGGGGTACACATCGAAGTTTTCTTTCTCCTTGCAAATTTTTCAGATTTTTTTTGTTCGTCATTTGAATCCTTGTAGAGAAATGAGGACCACTGACTGATGAGGGAATTGTCTTACTGATATGAGATGAGCCTGCCTCAAGCCATCGTAAGCTGGGAGGACCGATGATGGACTGACACCGCCTGCTGGCCTGGCCATTACTGATTCTTGAGGTGAGTTTACTTTGAAAACGAAAAAAGACCAGGGTATGAGGATTATAATTTGTTATTCATCTGATTGTAGTTTGTCCCTCCTACAAAATGCACAGTGCTTGATTTCCTAATATATATGTATTTTTTTTTAATTTGCTTACTTATGTTGTCATGTTTAGGACATGAGGACCACCAAGCTTGGACGAGACTGGACAATGACGAAGCTACTGGACAAGGATGCCCTCATCGGAAACTTGAGTTAAAAAAAACTAGCCTGCACAATATGAAATGATAAATCAGACTGCATAATGCAACGTCATTAATGTTATACACTAAGGAAACAACACTAAAATAAAATGAAAAGTAATTTTGATTTCATTAAATTATTTATGCCTCTAAAATAATCTTAAACCGGATACTGCAACAGACAGTTAACAATGGACAATAATGGAAACTTGCTGAAAAATTATTGCAAGGGTAATATTTGTCACTGGCTTTTTAGCAGTGACATGTCTGGGAGAAGGGATGTTCCTTTGATCTGCCCTGGGTCATCCAAATAAGTTAATAATTTCATACTCCTTACCTTTAATGCATTCAATTGGATCTTCTCGGTAAATTATAAACGAAGTCTCGCCTAAGGCTTTCTGTTTGCTTTTTGTTCAGTTGACAATGGAGAATTTTGCTCTATAAATTTAATTTGATATTGAGAGTGCACTTTAAGAAAACCAATTTAAGTCAGAAGAGTTTTGAAAGCTTTCAAAAAGGATTAATTTATTGTTTAAAAACTGAAGAAATGTAACAAACTTTATTTAAATTTAACGTCTTTAACAAGACGTCGGTTTAAGTAAAACGTGACTTTCTTTCCATTGTATATTTATTAGAAAACACAAGAACGTTAAGTTTTTAGGAAAATTTAAAGAATAAATTGTTCAGGAACTTCTATCCATCAAAATGCATTGCAACAGGTATAAGTGACACTCAAATTACATTTGTGTTTGTCCTTTTGTGATATATTTCATTGCACTTTTTTTTACTTGTTATATGTTTTACTTCGTATGCACTATTTTTTTTTCTTGGTGGTTTTGCATGTCTTTTCATTTTCTTATTAATAATTAACTAACCTCACAAAAGGATAAACGCAATATATATCGAGTGTTGAACTTGTATTTGCCTCGCATCAAATTTTTCACATACTAGCTAAAATAGACAAAATATAGTTCTGAAATGTTTCAAAATAATCTAGAATTTTTTTTTTTTTTGGGGGGGGGCATTCCCAAGTTTTATCTTCCCTTTTTAAAATCTTATTCACAAAATGGCGAAATACAAAAACCTGGCTTTACCGTGTACAGTTATGTAGTCGTTGCTTATGTAATGATCATCTATGATATTATAAAGTGATTATTAATTTCTCAAATTAATTGGCCTTCTGCCCAACTTTTTTCCTCATTTGGAATCTTTTGTATTTCTTTGTATGAATTGGTTTAAATATTTGTATGTCAATAAGACCAAGGAATTAAACAAAATAAATAAAACTTGAAAGATGTGAGACACTTGATATCCTTGGAAGGGTGTCAGTATTTGCCTATTTTTGTTGTAGTTGTTGGCGGGGGAGGTCAAGCTACTACAAAAGTAACAAAACCCAGAGTTTTATTATTTATGGGTGATTGGGGGCGGGGTGCGCACATAAAGGCAGTCAGGGAATATAAAATAATTAGGTGTTTTTGTAAGGGAAATCTTACTCTTAAACGGAAATAAAAAAATCTCCTAGGTTCCTAGGTTCTACCTTATAAGATTGTCCAATAAAAAGACCCGAATTTGCATACGCCGCCCAAATCACAATTTGCATGCCCCCATGGGCTTTTCAAAAGAAGTTTTGCAAATGGGAAAGACACTTTGGAAACATCCAATCAGTTTGAATATGCTTCATGAATTTCTGAATAAACGAGCACATTTTTAAACAGTATTTAATTACTATTATTTTTCGATGTGGTGGTGGTGGTGGGGTGGGGGGGGGGCGGCTGGGGGGGGGGGGGTGCTAGACAGAAAATATATCAGAAGTGGCGCAATAAAACCGACAGCGGGCGCAATAATTTTGATAAGGGTTTCAAACATTTCTACGCGAGTCGTTAATTTGCATAAAAAGTGCCCCCCCCAAAAAAAAAAAAAAAAATTCGTAAAAAAAACGAGACCGTCTAGTTTAAAAGTCGGTGGAATCGTGCGAAAATAGCCGAGGATCATCTCCCTAGCTTTTGGGCTATTATCTAAGAGCAGATTTGATAAAAATTTGGGTCCAAAAATGGGTCCTATTTGCACGAGAAAATGTAGGGATGCCATTGGTAACTTTGGCAGTATGCAGGCTCAGCATTACCGGCATACCGGCAGGCTTCAACCCGGTTGATGGGCTTTTAAAAAGAACTTTTGCAAATGGGAAAGACACTTTGGAAACATCCAATCAGTTTGAATATGCTTCATGAATTTCTGAATAAACGAGCACATTTTTAAACAGTATTTAATTACTATTATTTTTCGATGTGGTGGTGGGGGTGGCTGGAGGGGGGGGGGGGGGGCTAGACAGAAGATATTTCAGAAGTGGCGCAATAAAACCGACAGCGGGCGCAATCATTACGGACACACTCTCGCAAAATGTGGTTCGGCAGCTTTTTATACAAAAACCTCGTTGGCTCGGGGTTTTGTGCGTAAACCTTACCAGTCAGCCGATCACGCTCAATTGACTTCGGCCAAACCGCAAGTCCCATCATAAGGAATAAGTTAACCATGTTAACCGGACCATTTTTTCCAAGAGTGTGTCTCTAATGTAACCCTTAATGGGAACGGATACCAAAATGCAAACAGCAAGTATCCATCAAGTGAAATTGTGCATCTCCATACTAGGTGCCACCGAAGCCAGACTAGCTTACCTTTATCAATCCGAAGAGGTCACATGCACTCATACACTCCGGTGGTACAACAAAGATCAATGGTGAAGCTCTCTTTGTGCGTCCACCTTTCAACAAAGCTATAACCAAATGGCAGGCAATCTTCTGTGATCGCCTCCGTGTGAGACTAACATCGCCACGGTCAGCTTATGTACGGTCTTATGTACGGTCTGATGACTACGGTTAGAATCTATTATATGACCGACTGACCGCCGTTACCAAGAATATGCCCCATGACGAATTCGTTGTCCCTGGCGACATGAACGCCACCCAATGTTGCTCAAGGAATGGTTTCGAATCCATCCTAGGCCCCCTTCAACTCCGGTCCTGTCAATGACAACTAAGAATGACTCCTCTCCTTCTGCGCCTCACAGAACATCTCCATAGTAGGTTCCGGCGCCCTAACATGCATAGAATGACCTGGATCTCCAATAATGGTCACACACGAAAATAATTTGACCACATTCTTGTCAAGAACCGGAACATAGTAACATCTTCCAGGGTCTATAGAGGAGCTGAAGTCCCAGCAACTACAGATCATCGCCTGCTAATTGCAAAACTAGCAATCTGGTGTAAGTACAGGGCTGCATCATGGCACCTTCTCCTTTCTGTCGCGCCATGGGCTGGATCCTCGAGAGGGCGACCACGTGAATGTGGGGATCGCGGCCGTCGGCCAGTTCAAGTTCTCAGACCTGGAATATATGCTGATGATGTTGCTCTATCTAGTCTGTGACGAGTTCAGTCTTTTCAGAGCGAGGCTGCGAATCTCGGTCGCAACATCTCGCAGAAAACGAACAACCAACTGGCACCAGCACTCCCTCTCAAGTTAAGGTGAACGGCCAGTCTGTCGACATTGTGGAGGATTTCGAATATCTCGGAAGTATAATCTTTAACACTGGCCTGAGCGCAGTGAACCCGACATCCTCTGACGAATCGAGTCACTCGGCCTCGCTTCATCTGCCTACGCAGCATCTGGAGTTTATTGGGCTGAAACTTACCACCAATCTGGGTATATACAGGACATGCGTCTTTCCTGTCCTGCTTTACTATAGGCTTAGAAACCTGGACCCTCCTTAATTCCGATCTCAGAAGATTTGAGTCATTCCACCAAACGTGTCAACGCTCGATCCCAGGAATCCAGTGGTATGCTATCGTCAGCAATAACGAGGACTCCTACAGAACAAGATTGCCAACCATCATCCACCAAATCCAACATCACCGCACCGCTTCGGTCAAGTCGCTCGCCTGGCTGACAATATCCCAGCCAAAAAGTTCTGGGCATCGCCATCAATTTCAGGAGAGGTCAACAGCCAACTCCCGGCTGGAAGAGACCCCGTGGCCGTCCAAGATCATCTTGGTTGGAACAACTCGGACGGCCTAGCCAGCCTGACTGCATGTGGAATGAGGCTGTAGGACGCAGGCACAGGAGATCGGCGCGACGGACCTATGCTGTCTATGCGGATGAGTGAGTGAGTGAGTGACAATCAGCAGTGTGGTTCGATCTGCTCGTGATCTGCTCATGAACACAACTATATACACCGGGACCGAGTGAATGTGGTAACGGCCGGTGTTCGAACCAATCAGCCCATAATTATTACGAATGTGTTGAATTGAAACACCAATTAAGCAGCAGCATATTAACTGACAGACCCGATTCGGAAATCCCAGGAATACTATCACTTGGCACATTTACAACCTTTATGACTTTGTCCATTAACCGGCACAGCACGTCTAACTGACAGAAAAAGGGCTTGAAATGGATGCATGATGGGCAGCAGACCCGAAGAACTTCTTGTAGGACCGCAACTTTGGAACAGTACAAAATGTGCATTTCCGGACTATGTGAATTACTCTTTGGAGACTGTGCTGATTATATTACTACATCTATAAAGGTAACTATGAGAGATGAAGCAACGCTGCCAGTGTAGCAAATGTGTCAGAAAGCAGTAACTAATGGTTATGCTGACTAGCGCCCTCTTGTGATAATATTAATCAAGGCCTTACTACCGGTCAGCTTCGCTCGTACCCCCCCCCCCCCCGCCCTGCAAACAGGACGCTGGGATACTCTGATGAATTCACGCTCTGATTGGTTGGATTTTGTGTGACTAGTGACCTGCGCGTCATCAAGGTCATGTCTCTGCAAGGTTTAAAACGGCTGTAAGACTGATTCATACCTCTTTTATTCCAGTTTAGAGATTTTTTTTCTCGTTGAAAAGCGTAATATTGTGTAGGACATTCTGTAAAACTTATTTGTGTTGTAATTTACAATTCCCGTCACTCGCTCAGGCTCCGTTTCGAATCACGAACGGTTAGATTGCATTATGCGATGCTCAAAATGTTGTCCACATGGTCCGCAATGAAACAGAAATCACATCCGGTATGAAATGTGCGCAATTCTATGGGAAGTTTTCGGATAGCATTTGCGCACATTGTCTAGCTGCGGTCTTGAACAGCTGCAGCCAGATGCTTTATACATAGGTCAAAGGCCATTTCCTTCACAAGATTCTGTGAAGCTCATCAGAGTATCCCAGCGTCCTGTTTGCAGGGCGGGGGGTACGAGCGAACCGGTCAGCATGTAGGGCGCCCTCAATCATATCCTTAGTTTTCCAATCACATTTTTGTCCACACCTCCATTCCAGTATTTTCCAATCCAAAGTTGACCCATTTTTCTGTTATAACAAAACCAGGTCGACTAAAATTTCATCCCAAGTTATCCTTAAATCATCAAAGATCATTCCTGTGCGTGATTTTAAAAAGTAAATATATTTCTGATGGTTTTATGGGGACTTTTCTACAGTGATTTTGTAACTTCTTTGACGACCTATTTTTAGTACTTGTGTATAATTCCCCAATTATGTAAAGTACTTACCTGCAATATAATTGGAATTATATGAGACAATGGAGGAGAGACTCACCCTGTAGATTGTTTCTCGTATTGCAATCTGATCCACCCTTAGAAGCTAATAGAACGTACCTCATTAGCATAACAAAA